CTTACTCGTTGCGACCAGGCGGGCATTGCGGCAACGGTCGGGTATAAGTGGTCCGCTCAAGCGCCATCCATTTTCAGGGCTAGTTGATTCGGCAGGTGAGTTATTACATACTCCTTAGCGGGTACCGACTTCCATGGCCACCGTCCTGCTGTCTATATCAACTAACGCCTTTCATGGAGTCTCATGAGTGGACACTTGAGCACTTTAACCCGACGAGTTGAACTCTTGTTCAAGCTTTTAAAAGTAAAAAAAAAGTCTTAAATGACTCTAAGTTGCTCTAAATTCAATCGTTTAACTGAATATCTTTTATTTGTTTTCTATTATGGCGCTGTTTTGACTACCCCCCGGAAAAACGTCGCAAGTGTCCATTTTCCCCATTTCGCCAATTTTGTTCATTTTTTCTCATTTTAATTGGAATTCTTTTATTTTATAAGTTTATTTTTGCTTTTCTAATTGTAAAGTTCTTTACCTATCCCTTTGCAGGTCACTTTGAAAGTAATTGAACAATGATAATCGAATCTTTAGAGCTAAAGTCCATTTGGTTCCCAATTTCCAGTGCAATAGATTGATTAGCCCAGAACCGTATCATTGTTACGTCACACTCATTGGGGGCCACTCGTCCAGCTACCCCAGCAGTGGCCTTTCCTTTCCCCTTTCCCCCACACTCATCCACTCAATCCATTTCCAATCTAAATCCTCTCAAACTCCTTTTCTTTTCAAAGACACTTGAGAGAAATTTTCCAAATTTGGAGAATCCTTGAGAATATTTGCATTTGTACAGTTTTGGATAGAAAGAATTGAAAGAAATGAATGAAATGAATGAACTGAGATCCCCGCCCCATTCTCGATCCTTTTCGAGTGCCCAATTTCAGTGAGATCGCCAAATTCAAGCGTTGGATGAACTTTTTAAAAAAAATTATAATCAGATATGATAATTTTATTTGAAATTCCTGTATAATTTGTCTTTTTAATTTATCATTGAGAATATTTGCATTTGTACAGTTTTGGATTGAAAGAATTGAAAGAATTGAATGAAATGAATGAATTGAGATCCCCGCCCCATTCTCGATCCTTTTCGAGTGCTCAATTTCAGTGAGATAGCCAAATTCAAACGTTGAATGAACTTTAAAAAAAATTATAACCAGATATGATAATTTTATTTGAAATTCCTATTGCTTAATGTATAATTTGTCTTTTCAATTTCCCTGTTAAAAGCTTTCTTTGAGTTTTGCTCTTTATGCTATTGTAAACACACTCTTTCTAGAGCACTGAATGCTTCATTTGAATTCGCTGTTCAAAGTACACGGTTTCATTGCGTCGATTTTGTGTGCTCCGTGCAAAGGCGTCTTCTCTAGTGCACTGAAGTCTTTCTTTTCTATAGAGGAATCCTGTGCACTAGAAAGAGTACGTTTACAGGGATTTGAAGCACAACACGCACTGCTAAAGCTTTGTCATCTGTTCGACCTTTTTTTTTTCGACCTTTCGACCATCAATCTCACTCTTCTTTTCTTTTTTTTTCCGATTTTTGTTTACTCTTTAATCGGTCACTCTCATTCTTGACTAAAATTTGTTTTTTTCAACTTAATAGTATATATTTCTAGATTCGAATTCCCCTTTTTCATCTAAATTGACAATTTCGAGATTCTATTTTGATTTTGAGGGATTTCGAGGGAAAATAAACGACAATGCGAGAGTTTTTGAGGATATTTTCAGGTTTGAAAAGGGGGATTTTTTTTGGAGAATGTAAGTGCTAACATTTAACAGTATTAAAATAGATTTTTCAAGAGAAAAATGATTTTCTTTTTTGCGTCTGGTCAAATAAAAAGCTTTTTCACTGAATCAAAGTCAATCAAATAGCCTTTTCTCTACAGGAACTAAATCTGTAGAGAAAAGGAACTAAATCTGTAGAGAAAAGGAACTAAATCTGTAGAAGAAAGGAACTAAATCTGTAGAGAAAAGGAACCAAATCTGTAGAGAAAAGGAACCAAATCTGTAGAAGAAAGGAACTAAATCTCTAGAGAAAATGAACTAAATCTGTAGAAGAAAGGAGCCAATCCTTTTTTTTGGTCTGAAAAACGATTTTTGATCAAAGAAAGTGTAGAAATTTGAAGGGAAATTTGTGGAAAATAATTGAATTTTTGAAATTTCTAGTTAGATTTTTATCTGATTGAAGTTTTTCTTTGAGAAATTTTGAGATGAAACAAAAAAAATCAAATGACTAACGATAAAGAAAAGTTTGTTTTCTCTTTGTGCTCTCTTTGTGCTCTCAAAAAGAAAAAGAACAAAAAACGGATTTTGTTCTCAAAAATTTAAATATCATCTAACTAGCGCATTGAATTCTTTTGTTTTTTTGCGAAAATGAAGAACTCAATGTCCCAGCTAACGTCCTCAAAATCAGCTTTCCACTAAAAGTTGACCTATTCTAGGTCTATTCTATTCTTTGACCTATTCTAGCGTAAACGTAAACTTAGAACACTTCAAACAGTCCGTTTTACCGTTTTCTTCAAGAAAAAACCCCCAATTGACACCAAATTGACCAAATTTGTGAGTGCTTTTTTTTCTTCGAGGCTAGTTTCTTCGAGTTTCTTCGAGGCGATTGACCCGTTTTCGAACGAAATCGTGCGCAATTTGCATCGTATTTTCTAGAAAAATAAACAAAATAAAGCAAAAAAGGAGGTGAATTGAGTGCGAAAAGATTTGAATAAGAAACTCTGGAATTGAAAGATTTTGAAACAACGATTTTCAATTACTAAAATTTACTTACAATTAAAATCTACAATTAACTAAAATAACGATTTTCGATTTTCAGTGTCACTTTTGCTCTCATCGATCTCAGCCGGATATCTCTACGATCGATGGGGAAATGTCAATGATGATAATGCAGTGAATAGTGTTTTTGAGAGGTCAGAGCTAAAAGAAGTCTCTATTTAGTGCAAAAAGTTTGAGTGCTGATGGATTTGAACGAAGATCAAAGAGTCAAAGAGATCAAAGAGAAAGAGATCAAAGAGAAAGAGAAGAAGCCACACTAACCACTAGGCTACGAGCTGAGCTTTTTCTAGAGCACTGAATTCTTCATTTGGATTCAATTGTGCCAAGAAGCGTGCGTTTATGCGTTGCGTGCAAGCACAAAGCGAAAGAAAAGCCTTTCATTGTGCCAGAAATTCGAGAAATCCCTTCATTTTCTCGAAATTCAAATGCCTATAACTTTGTGCGTTTTGCTGTTTAGCGCTTTTTGAAAACACTTTCTAAACATGCATTTTCAGGCCTTTCTTTTGTCACCAAACTCATATTGTAACTCGCGGATGACTTGGCAAGGGAACCTTGTAAGATAGCTCTATGGAAAATAGGTTTTTCCATAATTTGCAAAATTTAGTTACACTGATATACTCAAAGGGGTTCTGTTCTTTCATCTTTGATCTTAAATCCCTCAGACACCTATCTCAATTGTAACTCGCGAGTAACTTGGGAAGGTTCCTTTGTTAGTTTTGAGTCTAGATAGATGAAAATGCCAAAAGAAAACGCCGGGATTCGAACCCGAGGCCTTTCGCTTACCGAACGGCAAACGCTCTACCAATGAACTATAGCGATACGTGTCTCATTGCCGCCAGGGTCGGACCTTAGGCCGGATGGATTAGATGATGGGTTACAGGCACTGTTCATGCCTGTAACCATTATTATCTATTACCATTCATGAGTATCACCTGGTTTGATATAGAAATCTGGTTCTGGATCATCCCTGGAGCCTGTAGTTGCCGTTCAGACTACGAGGTAAAAATGACTTTTTGAAAAGTCATGTCGAGCTAAGAGTATAGCCAGCTTAGCCTAGAACCTACTAAAAATCGTTGTACCAAGTCACAAGTACTGTACTTACCGTAATCTCTTTGCAGACCCCGTCCTCCACCGTCTTCTCCTCGTGGTTCCACCTCAAACCTTGGTTGTTTCCTTTGCACTCAATTATTATCTGTGACGAAACACCGTGTCGGTCTCTCTCAAAATCAGCTTCGAAATGTGCTCTACGAGAAGTGTCGCGTGCTTCCACAGGTCTTAAGGGTTTGTGCAAAATAATAAACCATTCTTGATAACATTTTGAATGTAAAATAGCATGATTCTAAAAACAATATGGAAATAAATTGAATGGAAATGAATTGAGTGGAAATGAATTGAATGTTTAGGAACAATGTTTCACTTTTGTCGATCGATCGTTGCCGGAGATTTATTTCTCTTTGAACTACGATTTCTCATCGAAAAATGTGTGCGTTACGCTGAATTTGTGCGATGAAGCGAGGTGAGATCGATCTAGAAAAGTTACCGTAGAAGTTACCGTTACAAGTTACCGTTACAAGTTACCGTTACAAGTTACCGTTACAAGTTACCGTTACAAGTTACCGTACAAGTTACCGTTACAAGTTACAAGCTTAACCAAAAGCTTTGAAAGGACAAGGCTACCGAATAGAGTGAAGGAATTCGCAAGTAGAAACGTTTAATAGCTAGAATAGCTAGCATAGCTGAATAGCTAGCATAGCTGAATAGCTGAATAGCTGAATAGCTGAATAGCTGAATAGCTGAATAGCTGAATAGTATTGTATCAAAAGATTCAGTCCATTCGCGATCGCCTCCCCTCCACCAACCCTTCCCCCTCCACCACCATCAACCACAACCGAACTCCCCCCACCTCCACCAATTCCCTCCATTCCCTCCATTCCATCAATGCCTGAAGAAAGAAGACCCGATCAGTCAGAGATCCCAAAAGGAACACCAATCACAATGACGGTTAGTTCATCTTTTCGTTTCGTTTTCAAAAGGAATTCTTTTTCTAGGACCCACCGCCGTCCATCCGTCCCCCACAAATCCCATCGACAATCCGCCAATCTCCCCCTTCTCCCCCTTCTCCACCCTCACCTCCATCACCTCCATCACCACCAATCCCACAAATTCCCTATATTGAGACGGGAAATGGAAATGATCGAAGAAGAGAAAGAGAACGAGAGACATTGCAGGGGATGAAGGACAGGATTGGACACAAGAATGAGAATAGAGAACAGGTGGGTGGAGTGAGACGTGAGAAAAAGAGGAAAGCTTTAAAATTTAATATCTGTAGCTGGAGCAACTAATCTAAACAATAAAGATTCTAAAAAATGACAATAACATACAAAAATTGGTAGTTTTTTTTTCATTTTATTTCTTTAACTTTTTCAAATTAATTTCAATTCAATTTCAAAGAACTTTTCAGTTGGAACAAAAGCGAATGACGTGTAAATTCTGCGAGCGAATGTTGGAAAACGCTAAACAGTACGCAGTGACGGCAAAAGTAAGGGGGAAATGGGGGGAATGATTTTGCGATTTATTTCAGTCAGACATCACCTCATTCGCCAACAACGCTTGTGCGCAAATGCAAAAGGGACGGACACAGGTTTATGAACAAATTAGGCATCAAAAATATCATTGAAATCGCAAAAGAATAGTAAATATTGTCTTAGAAATAGGATTGGAATCAAAAAATGATCAAAAATCAAAAATTGAATCAAATTGAATCAAAAAAGCTTCATTAAAATGAATCCAAAAAAAATTAATCCCTTAAACTTTATTTGAAACAATGAAATTGTAAAACTGTGCACTGTGCCTATCCAAAAAAGAGCCCCTTCCATGATTAGAAAGAGATTTGAATCAACCAGTCCCGAGCTCTTGTGGCGCAATCGGCAGCGCGTTCGGCTGTTAACCGAAAGGTCGATGGTTCGAACCCATCCAGGAGCGAAATTTTTTGCTATTTTCTAGAATTTGAAATTAATCTAAAGTCTAAAATCTCTCAGGATCAATGCTACGAGTTGGCCGATAAGAAAATCGACGAGTTGGCGAAATTCGTCGATCATCAAGTGATCGAGGCGCTTTGGTGTGCGGAATTGAATCATTGCTAGAAATCGAGATAGGTTAAACAAGATTTTATACGATAATTGACTTTTATATACAAATTGAAAGGTTGATATTTATGTAAATTGATCGTTAACATTTTCATATGGAAATTGAAAAATTCTCGTCTTTCACCCACTTTCTCTGCTCAAATCTAGTCTTTCATTCGCGAGGTCGGGAAATTTCCGACCTCATTGTCGTCTTTAAACGAAAAAAACGTGTACTCCCAGTATTTTTTACTCATTTTGTGCAATCTTCACTTATTTCCTCAAAAAAGTTGTGAGCTTTGATGCGTATTTTGCTCATTTTTTCATGTTCTTGATATAATTTTCTTAACTTTATTTCAAAAACGCAAAATAGTAACAATAGCACGAATAAAATTATTTACAACACACATTTCATAATTTACAGAGTCTATAGAGAAAGATTATGATAATTCATATACTTATGGACAAATAGAATACCTAACCCAGCGGAACCTCGGTTTTCTTATTCGAATGCGGTGGGAGATCCAAATCGGCGTAGAGTTTCGCGGGTTGATCGCCAGCCTGAATAAAACAAGTTCAAATCGTTTTTGGTTCAATTCATTTCTTCGTCATTAGTTCCATTTTTAGCTCGAAAACCCCACCAGAATTCTTCCCTCGAAATCCTGCCATCGTGACCAATATTTTGCTTGTTCTTGTTGTTGAAACCATGGACCGAGTTTGAGTGTCTCTAAAACAAAAGCTATTAAATCTAAAACGTTTAGCAAATGAAAAATCAAATTTTAACGAACCTCCCGATTTCCACACATATTTCTCCTTGTAGGCACGTTTCGGTTGCGGGGAATTGCTTCGTGATGATGTCCGAGTCGGCGTCGATGCCCCTCCCGTTCCACCATTTCCATACCATTTCAAAGCTTGCGAAGTCGATTGGATACATCTAAATGCTCAGAAATTGCTTAAAAACCAAATAAACGAACTCTCGTTTCGCATCATTTGTCACATCATTGGTCGGCAAGGAGAGACTTCTTTCCACAAACGTCAATTGCATGAGTTGATTGAATAGCTAAAAAGCTCAAATTAGACTCCAACTCCAAGCTCCAGTCAAGTTACCTCCAAATGTTGTTCGGAGTGATTCACATAGTTTCCCAAATGAAGTGCCAGCTCTTGTGCGACCGTTTGAAATTGTTCGGTTCTAAAAAGAAAATTTGAATTGTTGAATAAAATAGAAATTGTAATTTTTTCGTAAAAAGTCAAAAAATTTCGCTCCTGGATGGGTTCGAACCATCGACCTTTCGGTTAACAGCCGAACGCGCTGCCGATTGCGCCACAAGAGCACGGCGGGTGGGGCGAAAGAAAGATTTGTGAGGGGAAAGGGGAAATGGCCTGGGAGAGGAAAGGGCAGACTCTGGGAAAGAGCAAAAAGAGCAAAAAGAGCAGAATTGACTTGGGAATAAAACAGAAATGGCTTTTTTGAAAAAGTTTCAATTAAAAATGTTTCAGGGTCACCTAGATGCAAATTAAGGAAGGTAATTTAAAAGCACAAAGATAGCTTCTTAAAACTATCGCCCCCATAAAAAATCCCTAACCGATTTGCCGCATTCTTCCCCGTCTCTCCATCATTTGCATACGGTGGACTGCTCTTTCTCGCCACAAATTCAAGTATCACCTAAAATATAGAAATTTGAATTTAACGAAGCAAAATTAAAATTCCATGAAAAGTTACCCCTCTAGCCATATCGAAATCTTCGGCCGAGAGCTCGCGTTTCGCCAAAATGGAAAAGAATCTTTCGAATTTCTGAACAAATTTTAAAGTTTCGCCTACAGAGAAGCTCAAATCGTAAAATACCTCTTGAAGATTATAAATAACGGTTTGATCCTGCTGAACCGGCCAAAATCGAGTGAGTCTCTTCAGCAATAGGGTTGGTTGATCGTTCTTCGCCGAAGTTGAAGGCATTTTCTGAAAAAAATGAGCAATGAAGCGATGCTTGAAACCAATTAGGTTTAGATGTTAGGTTTAGATTATAAAACCTTCAAAGATACCTCTTTATCCATTTTCTTCTCAATTGTTTTCACCGAAAGTGTCGTCTCTTTCATCAGACTTTTGAAATCGTTTACGCGAACCCCGGGTATTGGTTTCATTGAGGCTTTCTTCTGGAGATCTTCGTTATCTAAAAGCATTCAATAATACAATCGCTTATAGCAAACAGTATCTTTAATATTTAACTGACTTTGTTTCGAAATGATCACTTGTTGAATGTTCATCTTATTTCCACCAGCAGCCATCACCACTTGAGAGATCAATTTCGGACCAACATTTGGTGTCAACGATTCGGCGGCTCCTTGGCGAGAAACCTGAACAAAGTTATATGTTGTTGAAAAGACAATTTAACTTGCAAACCTAAAAGACTCAAAGTTAGCTAATTGATTTATATGTCTACATTCACAAGTACCAGAAAACCTTCTCACCTCAAGCATCACTTTATTTCGCCCGTTCATCAAATACGACGATAGGCATGTTGATTGGCGACTGTTCGGCTCGGCGAGGCTCACTCTTGATGAATGCGATGTAAAGGGGAACTAAAAACCATTATTTTAATATTATAAAATAGAGTCGAATAATTTTAGATCAAAATGTGGAACTAGTCTAAATCTAAATCATTAAGGGATAAAGCGTTGATATTTTTCTTTTAAAACCCGCTAACTTTTAGGATTCTCCATAGCATTTCACCAAAATGTGGACCCAAACACTGAAAAGAAAATGGCAAAAGAACGACTGGACGGGCGATGGGAAAAGAGGGGCCGGCCGTGTCTTTTCGTTTTTCGCGACTAGTCCCGTAGCCCGGTTAGCTCAGTCGGTAGAGCACCAGACTCTTAATCTGGCTGTCGCGGGTTCGAGCCCCGCATCGGGCTGATGCTTTTTGCCTTTTTTAAAAATTTTATCAAGGTTGCCTTGTTTTTAACATTAATCATTGATTGACTGATCACTAAATTAGAACTTCCTAGATTTCTTTAAAATTTTTAAGTACTAACCAAATCCCATCTAGTTTTCGGATTCGGTGTTGCCCATTGTAGTTTTATTGTCGAATAGACTCCCTTGTTGATCACCAAATGGCTCGATGGTTCTAAAAATTGATTGATAAATAAAAGAAAGATTAAATCTAGACCAAGTAATTTGTGTTTTTGTAGCTCTCCAAGGACGATTTTCGGATGGAAAAGTTCGACATCATAGTTGACCGATTGTCCGGTAATGCTTTCTTCCTGAATTAACCAAGAATTTTGATTTTAAACAAAAATTTTGAATAATGATTAACATTATCCAAAAACTATACAGAGCATCAACAAGTACACACCTTCATCGGTATTCCGGTGATTGTCGTCGAGACAAGATTGTACAAATCGAGAGTGACAGCATGAACGACCATTTGAATAGCTTCCCCAGTGTCTACAGTGGAAAGGAGTTGAATCTTCACCAATTCGGTATCGTCCGCCTAGAATAAGGAAAGTTTTTAATAATGAAACGCGTTAGACTTGCAACCGCTATCAACTTGAAATCTTAATCAATTTACTCAAAGCAACTCTTCATAAAAAAAATTTTGAACTTTTTAAGTCAGCGAAAAAGGAACACCCCTAACCGAGCCTTTGGTTCATTCCAAAGAACGGGAATTCGCGACTCGTCGCAAATCTTTTCCTCCTTTTCGCTGCCTCTCCTCACATGGGGGTATAGCTCAGTGGTAGAGCGCTCGCTTAGCATGCGAGAGGTCTGGGGTTCAATTCCCCATACCTCCATAAATCTTTTGCTTTTCGGGAATTTTTGAGTTGTGTTCGAGAAGAATGTGCTTTTCCAGTGGATCAGTTAGCTTTTTTTCTTTTTAAGTCAAAATTTAAGCAAATGTCCTTAGATCTTGTAGCTTCGAATGACCTTGAAATCAGATAACCTTGAAAATTTTGGTTTTTTCTCTTTTCAAGTGTACAAAACTTGTGTTTCTCTCAGAAATTACTTAGATATGCCAGCTTTTTCCTTTTTAAGTCAAAATTTAAGCAAAAGTTTAAAAAAAAAAACATCCGAATTTCCCAATAGAAAAGTCCCTTTTCCAAAGCGAAAAGAGCCAACAACGAAAGAGAGGGCGTGGCCAAACGCCGTCGAAAAGAAAAGGCTCCCCGTCGCACACTCTCCCATCCAGCCATAGCTCAGTTGGTAGAGCGGAGGACTGTAGAGAGGAGCAGCTATCCTTAGGTCACTGGTTCGAATCCGGTTGGCTGGAGTCTTTTTGCATTTTTAGATAATGGCCTGGGTAACATGATGCAAAGGGAAAAAACACCCCTTTACATTATTTTACAACATTTTCAAGCAAAATTTTCACCGATTGCATTGATTTGTTTTGAAGTGGATTGGCAAGATTTCCCGAGTAAACGTTGATGATATAGCAGCGAAGATCCTCGATTGGAGAAAAACTGAATAAAGTAAATTTTAAAAGAAAATCTGTGTCACAGACTTGTCATCACCCAAATTCTTAACAATCAAGTTACGACCCTTCACAATCTCCACAATGTCCGCCTCGAGACTTTTCAGCTCTTCTTCACTAAAAAGGATTTTAATATAACAGTATAAGTAAAAATTGTATACCTTTTCAATGAAGTCATTAGAACGATTGCGCCTCGATTTGGAATGAATGTTTGAAGAAATTGGTCTCTAAAAACATAAAAAAGTTAAGCGTTCATTAAATTTTTACCTCTTTTGCTTATTTGCTTCCAAATTTCCACCTCTCATCGGGATCGGAACTCGTGGGCGCTTGCCTAAAAAGGAGAGTTCGTTCTATATTACATTACTGTTCTTCATTTTTGCTACTGATACGTTTATTTCATTCTTGCTTTGATGCTCTTTGTTTTCTCAAAATTTCGTCATTGTTTCCCGCAAAATTCAGATCAAGGGGTCAGACAAAAAGGAAGGAAAGAGGGACTGTTTTCGGCGGTTATTTCGAAGTTTGTACTTCTCTCGTCGAATTCTCTCCAAAACCATATCTTTTTGCCTCTTTTTTCCGTTCAATTTTCCCAATTGGCTATTCGTCGTAATCTTTTCCTTGAGCGAACATCTGTCCCGAAGCTACTTCCAGAATTATTTTCGCTGGTTCTTGGTCAAATTCGGAACTAACATTTTACTAATCAGCTGCCTTACTAACAACTAACAATTCAAAGGTTTACATTAAAAGCAAGAAAATCACCTGATTTCTTGCAGATTTTTCATGAAAAATGAGCCGTCTACAAATAATTCTATCAAATTTAACCATGGAGATTCCACTATTATTGTACATGGTATCCTCATTTCTCAAGTTTCCCGTTTTTCAAAATTTGATTTACGAAAAAGTTTGTCTCAATTTGTACGATGTAAGTCGTTTTTCATTAACAAAACCATCTTTCTTAAGGATCATCGCCTTTGCACAAATGTCACCGCTTACTATGAGGATAAAAATATCCACGAAAAGGCGAATCACATTTATTTTCTCTCTTCAGTGTCTCTGCTTTCACCATCAATAATTATGACCTTATTCTTGGGTGCAGGTAGGTGAAAACTTCGTAAGTTTAATAATTTTGTTCAGCCTGTGATATTGGGAGCACAAAAATCCCACTAATCATCCCATTTGTTGGGTTAATTCTATCATCCGTTTTTTACATCATTCAAGCAACTTACATGGAATGGAATGTTTATCTTTTACTGATCAGTGATGCCATATTTGGTTGCTGTGGAGGTTATATTGGAGTCATTGGTAAGTGGGAATTATTGACTAAAATACAGGCAGCAAGTTTGAAAGCTAATCAAATAATCAATTCCACCAACCATGCATAACTTTAGGTACTACCATGGCTTACAGTGTGAAAGCAACAAATCCCCAGTATCGAAGCATCCGAATCGCTCTAATGGAGGGATCAATCGGACTCGGTGGAACAGTCGGCTTCGCCTTATCTGGCACTTTAAGAAGGTAAGCGGCCAAAAGCTTCTCATCTAAACCACTCGAAATCTAGCTTTGTTATTCAGCTCAATCGGATATACGTGGAGTTTCTTAATTCAAATGATCTGCCAAGTGCTTGCGTTTCTCTATATCATCACTTTCGCAAAAGAGTTGAATGAAACTCGGGATGAAGAAGAGATTAATGAGCAAGAAATCGGTGCGATACTTGACAAGGAGATTAATGTTAATTGAGTCTATCTAGGAAAGTTCACCAAATTTATCGCACGAATCGTCGAAATTCTTTACGAATTCTACGCGTTGCTTATCCGAAGACGAGAATTCCAATTGCTGTTGTGGTTATGTTTGGGAGCACTGGGATTAGAGCTTTTGATATTCGCCGGTTTGATGGACATTCAATACTCATTTCTTCGTTACAAACTTGGATGGGGAGATAAAGAATATGGGTGGTTTAGCGGTTTATCCTATGGAACGACGACTGCAGCTGTAAGTACAAGAATAGAAATGAAAACTTGTTTCAGGTCATGATAATCTATCCACATTTAAAACTAAAAGGATGGACGGATAGCCTGTTGGGAAGTCTTGGAATTTTCTTGAAGGTACTTAAACTTATAAAAGGAGTAAAGAACTGTAAAACAAATCAAGAATTTAGACGATATCATTATGCGTTTTTGCCTTCATATCCACTCCATGGATGGCCTACACAGTTACGGTGCTAACAATTGGCAATCGTTTTGTTTCCACCGGTTTCCGTGCATTCATCAGTAATCTTGTAGAGGAAAATGAGCAAGGTAAAGAAATCGAGGAATTTGGGGCCAACCTATCCAGGAGATTCATCAAAAATTCTCTTTCAGGCAAAGTCTTTTCATTGATCGTTTTTCTTGAAGGAGTTACAAGTTTGGCAGCCACAACGATCTACAACAATCTCTATCCAAAAACATTGCCGATCTTCCCGGGAATGATGATTCTTATATCAGCCGGTCTACTGTTGCCATGTTTATGCACTTTAATGTAAGTTAGATGAAATTAAACCGATCAGCGCCAACTTTCAGGTACGGTCACGTAGTAGTACAAAAGTCAATGACCCGGTTCGAGAACGAAGCCTCTGAAACACCTACCAACGGTACACAATGATAGTGTGTAGTTGAAAAATGATAAATTATTTGATTACTGTATCTTCGTCTTTGTGCTACTGTTTATTTTTCAAACAAACCTTGTCCCGGTCGATTCCCCATTTTCTGAGCTGTATCGATCGCTTTCCTGTAGGCATTCGTCTTCTGTGAGAGGGCATCCACAGCCATTCGGACACCTTAAAATGGTGATATAAAAATAAACTTCAAATTGATCTAAGGCGCATGAGCTTTAAAAACTATGTAAGAGCTCTTAGACTTGAATTTTGCCCATAAGTTACACTATAGTTACTAGTAAAAACAAATACCATTGAGTATCGACGAATCTTCACTTGTCAACGGTTTGCCGGCCGATTTGATGCTCTCATGCAACTAAAAAAAACTGAATTCAAATTTCAAACAAAAATAAACCTCATTTCTTGAGATCAAACTATCGCCCCATTGTTTCATTACATCCGACGTGTCACTCGTTAGGAAGCGGCCCACACAATCCGATAAAACGAAGCGCATCAATTTGTTCTAAGGCAGTAAAAGCTACTTATTAAAATCATTTGCTTATTGAGAAGCTATTCACTAAATATTATATTTTTATACTCTGCAAAACATCAACTTACATTGTTCGGGAAAACATCGCTAACAATACGATGCATCTCGAGGGCACATTCAACGGCTAGCGACCATACACTTTTCTCGATGGTCGCAACCTAAATAAAATTTTAGATGACAAAAAGATGTTCTTTTCTTGCTTTTCAGTTCACATACACATTTTGAATGTATCCACCAATAACACTTACAAATTTCTGCTTGTTCCCGGCGAGCTCCTTCACGTGAATGGGCAGCTTCTAAATAAAATCAAATGAAAGAAGTTTAAAATATCGAGAATTTAAGTATGCTTTTATCGGTATTTTAAGGGTTGAGTAACAGTATAAAGCTCAAAAATACTTACTTCAGAGGCGTCGATTCCAAATCGTGGTCCATGATCAAGCACGACGACCACTTTATGGTCAGCTCCAAGTGGTTTCGGCTTCCCGACAAACGATTTTCCCATCCAAAAGAAAAAAAAAATGTTAAGTTCTGTTAAACGAGACGAACGAGCGTGAAAACTCAAAATGTAAAAACAGCAAAAATTTTTCTAATTTGTGTGAAAAGCTGTAATTCATTCAAAAGGTAACTTTAGACTTGCTTTAACAATCGCCATCGACATCGAAAGTTAAAACTACGTTTATTTCAACAACAAAAATATAACTCGTAAGCTGCAATAACATGTAAAACAAAGAAAATAACAAAGTTAAGTTCATTTTGGATTATCCTTGAGCGTTTCGATAAACTCCTGAACCAGGCATAAAAATTTTCAAAATCATATATTGACCTTGATTTTTGTGTCATATTTGCGCAAGTGTGCTATGTAATCCTCGGAAATCGCCTCGAAATCAGTCTGGAGTTTTCTGGATAAGGGAAAAGCAATAAATTTTAACTTTTTAGAATTACCTGTATTTTTCGCTTTCCTGTCGCAATTCCGTGAAACTAGTAGCATTCTTGAAATTAACTTCTTTGGAGGTCAAGCTCTAGAGATTTGTGAAAAGAAAAGAGAATCAACTAAATTACCATTTTGAAAGCGCTAATCCCTTGTGCAGCTCAGAAAACAAATTTTCGTGTTTCGATTACAGTCGTTGATTCAGCTTGTAAATTTACGGATAGTTCACACGCCTAAAACGAAAGGTAGTTTGTATATAGTTATCTACGTTAATATCAAGGTTCAATTTCCGCTTATAAATCACTGAATCAACCGAAAATTTGTTTGCTTTATCATTCCAACCTCCTTTTCCAACAATGTGAATGAGTTGTGTCCACAATGGCTCTTATATGCACAAGTTCCACAAATCTAAACGAATAAGATTCTTCGAATTTAAACACCAAATTACCTTCGAAATACATTTGATGCAGTGAAACATGTCGTCCGCAATATACTAAAAATTAACGTGAATTATGGCAGTGTTAACTATACCGATCTATCGCACTCAGAAAACGAGAGTTTTTCATTTCCTCCACCCGACGCGTCATTTCGAACAACTCATCCAAGAAATCTAAATAAAAACTAGAAAGCAAACAAAGTTTTGGTACCATGAAACTGATCTTTCCGTCCATCACAGTTTGCAAGGGTACCCACGTTACCAACTGAGCAAATGATCCTATATGGCCATTTATTGCTCTGATTTTGATCTAAGATTTCATGTTTTCAAATAACACCCCGTGCAAATGATGCGGTTGCAATTAAGAGTGAATGATTTCTTTCCATCAATCTCATTAGAACTTAAATAAAAAAAAATAACTCAAAATCAAATGCATCAAACCTACATTTATCGTGATAAATGGGACTGTTCTGGAATTTTGAACGGCTAGAAAGAAACTCTATTGTAAAAATAATGTAACCTTTAAAAGCAAATATCCACAGCCCATTTGAACCAGAGAATCGTTTTGTGATAAAACATCTAAAGATCACAATTTGAAATCAAGCCACAGTGCTTAAATTTTCAAAGTAGAATAAAAAATACCTATCAAAAAGTAAGCAAATTTTTCGTTATTGAGACAATCATTCCCTCGATTACATTGATGTTTCTTTTTATCTTTCTCTATCGACTTCTACTTCTCGAAACATTCGCTGCACATTGCCAATCCATATTGCAAATCCCGTGAAGATCGAGCCTGTTTTGCGACCGAGACAACTAAAAAGGTTATGCAACAATTATTTTAGTTTCTCAAGAGTTGAAATTAACTACAAGGAAATTGCCACAAAATTTGCATTTCTCATCATGTTTTGCCATAACTCTTACCATTAGCAAAAATATTGCGAAGAATTTCAAGAAAAAACTAAAAGATCCAACTCGCAGGCACCTAATAAAATTAAAAATTAGCTTTATTAGTAAAATTAACAAAACTTACACGGCCCATTGCAAAGAATGCAATTCAACGATTTGAATCCCGTCATTTTGAAAATCCCTATACAAATAGAAACTCGGCTCAACTCTTTATCAAAGTAAATAATATCAACCGAAATCGTGATTTGAATTAAACCAACCCAAGTTGAAATGATTTATTGACAATCAATGTGACGATATGCAAAAAATTAATCGAACAAGCTTTAAAATAGCAAGTTAGTCAAAGTTATTTATGGTTCTGCTTTTACTCGTTTCCGTCGTGCTGGTGGCTTGGGATCAGCAACAGTGTCACTTTCTCCTTTCATCTTTTCAGGTGGAGTGAATTCAGTTTTTATATTTTCCGAACGGAGGGGCTGTGGTGCCTCATCTCGTTTCCCGATTTGCTTTTGATTCCCCTCTTCTCGTTTCGCCAACAATTCCCCAAATTCACCATCTGGCAAGAAGAAATCGTTTTGGCAGAGAAGCAACTCGGGTGTCGATTCATTGCTTTCGATGGCTTCCATATCGTAGAAGGTTTTCAACTTTGTTCTGATATCTTCGGACGTAGGACGAATCTTGTATTTGGGTTTGAAGATCAGAATCCCATTCAAATTTTCAACTCCACCGTGTTGTCGACGATTCACCAATTCTTGAAGGTCATCATCAGTTAGTAGATCCTCAAAATCGGTATCCTCGTCTTCATACACATTGTTCATATAGAGATTGAGCATTGCCATATGATAGTGTTTCATGACGCCGGCTGGTTTGTGTTCAAGTAACTTCTTGAAAAGTCGTTTTTCCGATAGTTCACACCAGCAGTCAGTCTTCGAGTCGCTTTCCTCGTATGTGAGAATGGATGCTCGTTTGAGATCTGGGTGAAAGAATCGCTGTCGGATATTCTCTTCATTTCCTTCTACATCAAGCGCTTGCTCCTCTTCCAATTGAACACCCTCATCCGAACCTTTTATCTCCATCTAAAATTTGATAACATTAAAAAAATCAGGAACATTAAGATTTTGTTTAAAAACAAGATTAATGCCTATCTGCCGCGTTTAATAACAAAAGATTTTCTTTGTTTGCATCTAACAGACATTACCAAAAACTGAATAACAGATAAACTTTATTCAAAAAAACAAAATCAACCGGTTTAAAGAAGAAAAGAGAAGCGAAAGAATCACCGGATAATGGAGACGAAACTATTGACGAAATTTCACGAAGCACAAACAAAAAAATGGCGAAGCATTTGAGCCAGGAATGCAGAAGTTAAAAAAACTCGGCTTTGTAAAGATCTCAAATTTCTGTCTTGATTCAAATTTAAGTAAACAAACAATGAAAAATATACATAACCACCACCAAAAATTAAGCGCTGGAAGAATACGAAAGAAATCATGGATGTTGTTGGGCGTGAAGAATTTGCTTTTCGTGTTTGTTCTCAGCCAAAGCCTAAAAAAGATTATCTTTAAAATTTTTGAGAAATACCTAACCTGTTGATATCTCCAAAAATTCGTTCGTACCGGATCGATCTCCTCAAGTTCCTTGCAGAACTAAAAGCATGGAATTTTACTGAGATCTTGACAACCTTTGAGTGTTTTAAGGTTCCAACTCTACCTGTTTAGCCCTGGTCACATGTATAAGACCACCATCAAGACCTTCTTCGATTTTCTCCATCTCGATATCCAACAGGAATGAAACGAGATAATGTGCACTAAAAAAATACATTAAGTAGGTATTCGCTAGGATAATAAAGCTCAAACCAATAAATTCAAACAAACCGGTTCTCCGTTTCGCTATATAACTTTTCAGCCCATTCAATGACATCTGGCCGTGAAATAAGTCCACCAGAGATCAAAAGCCTAGAAAAAATTAGGTGTATATCTAAAGAAAAAAATTACCCGGCCAAATAGTTCCAAACACTCTCGTTGTGGGTGAGCTTGCCCGCAATCTGTTTGCAGAAACTAAAAAGGATACATAATAGCTTACAAAGCAAACAGACTTGATTTCAATATCAAGTGTCTCCTTGTGATCGATCTTCTCCCACAACTGTAGGATGAAATAACGATAGTTCCAAGCAGAATTGTTATACGAATCCTGAATCAGGATTTGAACGTAAATAATATCGAGTGCTTACCTCGAGAAGCAGCTTTGTTGTATAGTCAATCTCTCGTTGGCCGACCAAATGGAAATGACGCACGACCCATTGACGATGTTGCCACCCGTGATAGTTCTTTGGCTCATCATCGAACACGGCAGCAGTGAAATCCAACTCATCACCTAAAATGAAAAGATTGTTTTCATAAGTCTGTAGCTACAAAGGATACTTGAAAAGCCAACCATACGTTTTCGGCCCATTATAATTTTTAAAGCGAGGTGAAAAAGACTTTACCTGGATTGCCGATCCACTCAACAAGTGTGCGGCGGTGATGCCTAAAGGAACAAATTGAACATGAATTTCATTAAAACTCTTACCAAACTTGATAATTCTTTGGATTTTCCATGATGATATCACCGATGAAACGCAGCTCAGCTTTCAAATCGTGTCCGAGAGCCTTCAATAAGTCGCGGCGATATTGCCTAGAAAGATGCATTGCTTCAAAGACCATTAACGCTTACCAGACAGTGTAGTTGGCAGCATTCAACTGAATACAATCATTGGTGAGTTGAAAACATCGCTCCGAGATTTCCTTCTTTTGCAAAACAGCACGAAGATAGGAGAAAGCATCAACAACTAAACACATTAAATCATATTAGCATTAACAAGATTACTTGATTTATGCTTTCTTTCGGCAATATTTTCATAATCTGGTAGATCTAATATTAAATAACAAAGAACTCATCGTTTACTTCTTTTGCGTTTACACTTTGAAACAAATGTACGTTACTTTTTAAAAACAGCAATACATAGATTGAATTAGGTTAGCGTCGTCTGAAAAAAACGCAACCAAAGCGATAAACAATTACCGGCAAAATTCAAGTTTATGGGATTTTCTCAAAACAGTATTTTTCTTTGACTAAAAGACTTCCCACACTGAGTTTAACCCAAATAAATAAGGAAAAAAGTCAGAAAAGGCTTTTCGCTGAGTTTCGAGCATTTTTCAAAATCCCACATCCTTCACTATGTAGATGCGAAGTTTAGGGGACTCTCTCAAAACCTAGTGTTATGATGCTCCATAAAACAACTAAGGTTTTTATAGAACTAACAAAAAATGATCGGGGGATAGTTCCATCAACACCAACAATTCTCGATCACCCAAAATCAAGCCATGAATCCGAAGTTCGTCTAGCCATTGATTTGTGGAAAACCAGTCATGAAGTCGGTTAATCGAAGAAAACCGGGCATCTTGGAAGAAAATAAATATTTTCTTTTTCACAAATGTAAATTTTTGTAATATGGTAATAATAAGCACCACCAAAACACCAAGCCTAAGAGAGTCCCATAAACTTCACATCTATGCAGTAAAGTATATGGGATTTTCAAAAAATGCCCTAAACCGAGCGAAAACCTTTTCCGACTTTTTTCTTGCTTCTTTGGATTAAACTCAGTGTTGGAAGGTTTTTAGGTAAAGAAAACACTGTTTTGAGAAAATCTCATAAACTTAAATTTAGCCCAATTCTCCCATAAATTACTCACAAGCTTCTCCAGCATCAATTCGCACAATAGTGTTCTCTTCGGGTGTCGGAAGAATCGGTGTGATGTCCGCCCAATCATCACGATCTCGATAGAATGGCGACGATTTCACTTCGGTTCCTTCACTCATCTGGAAAATCAACAATTAAGATCAGTTGGACAAAATGGGGAAAACGAAGATGATTTTTGATTAAAAGGCAAGTATCGATGTGTTTGTGGATAAAGTGGTGATAAACTATAAACTAAATCCAAAGGAATTAAAGAAACAGACGAGCTTGACTAAAAATCATAAAAACAAACAAATGTCAATAGAATTTTGTCAAAATTGATTCAAAACTTCCGAAGTTTTCAAGAATAACGACTAGATGTTCTTAATTGTAAGATGAATAATCAAAAACTGGAGGTGCTAGCAAAAGCAAAAAGCGCTACGTTTCATTTGCGCCGTGTCATTTGCGCCAAATTTACGCTTATGAAAATCACTGTAACAAATCAATTTTTCCCAACTTCTAACCAACTTCTTACAGTTTTCTGCTTCACAATTTTAGTTCTCATTGTTTTCAATTAGAAAACACGTTTAAATCTCTATAAATACTCCAAAAACAGTCACTTTTGTGTCCCCGATTGGACTTTTTGCTCTTTATATCATTTAATGTCATTTTCAATTCCGGCAAAGGCGCCAAAGTAGCGAGCATCGTCGACGAGAAAAGTAGGAAAAAAATAAAAATAAACAATCATAGTTGGTAGGAAAGTGTGTTGAAAAGAGCAAATTTGGCGCAAATGAAATTGGCGCAAAAAATTTGGCGCAAATGATACATGGCGCAAATAATTTGGCGCTTTTGCTAGCACCACAAAAATTGCCGTAATCAAAAAATGATTTTAAAAAAAGTTATGTTTATAGGCATTTTCAAATGCTAAGCTATTCAACCGTTTAACTGAATATCTTCAATCACTATAAGCGCATTATTTAAGTAAGGAACGTGGCTGAATATCTTTAAAGCAATAATTTTTTTTCATTACATAACAAAAAAATTTTTGTTTGAGCGCCGAATTTTTGCTTTCTCTGTCCCTCTCGTATTCCGCCAATCTCTCGTTATTGTTGGGGACAAACTATAGAAATTTTCCTCTACATTCCCCTGCGTAAAGCATATAAAAATACCCCGCACAAAATTGATTTGTTCCACCACGGGATTTTGAGTTGAGAAAATTTCTCAGTTTTGTGTTTGAATTATTGATTTTGTTTGCCATTGTAAGCTGTTTCCGATGAGATTTCTGACAAATTTATGCTGAATTTTGGACAGAGATTCATCAAAATTTTCATCAAAAGCAATTTCAACGAAATTTCCCTTGTAACGAGCTCATTGTCAGCTGGGTTTAAGTGATTTTTGCATGACATTCGACTTGGAAAATCCCGCTATTGCCGTTAAAACGAAGAATTCACGGGGGTGGGACAAATGCGACCTTTTTTGCGCACCTTTTTGCTGGAAAAGGCCTTAGGAAAGGTCGTAGAGCTTCAAAAATGTTTTCATAGAAGGGGGATCGTATACGTAGATTCAGAATTTTGGCAAATCAGACCTCGCTGACACGTCAAATTTGGGCTAAAAGGTAAAAACTACGCAACTTAACGCTTTTCCGCAGTTTTTGCCTTTTAGCCCAAATTTGACGTGTGCGAGGTCTGATTTGTCGAAAATTCGGAATCTACGCATACGATTCCCTTATATGGAAATATTTTCGAAGCTCTACGGTCTTGCCTAAGGCCTTTTCCAGCAAAAAAAAGGTCGCATTTGTCCCACCCCCAGAATTCACATTCTACTATCCGAAACCGTGTGAATATCGTGTGCATTTGTATTTTAACGATCACAGAAAGCATGGTAGTTTGGTGGTTGTCAAAAATTGGCGCGTTTTCGGAAACGTATTAGATCCCATTGCTAAGCTTTGCCAAACCATGATGACTCTCCAAATTGATCTCCCGAATTCATTTTTCTGATCACAACTCACAAACCAAGGTCAGACTTTCTTTTGTGATTTCTCCTATAATTGTTCACTTTTTGTGTCCTCTTTTTTTGTGTTTTTGAACCTTATCAAATGATGAAATGGAGAAAAGAGTCTTATCTTTTCTAGAAAACGTCGATTTTCTCTTTTTGCCGGCTTTTTCCGCAAATAAACCCTTGATTTCGATATTTTCCCTGGTCTTGTTTAGAAATTCCACGAAAGTCATCACTTTTGCTTTAGTAAAAAGATCACTGATCTAACTTAAAGTTTCGAATTTCATCATTTAAAGCTTTAGATTTTATTGCCACGTTTTCTTGCCTGTGTTGAAAAGCTCTAATTTCAATTTTTTTTAATCTATAAAGTACCTTTGTTCAAAAGATATTCAGTTAAAAGGCCTTTTGTGAAATTCCCGGGGTAGGCTAGTTTCCGCAACTTTTTTTGCGCAACAGGGTCACTTGCGCAACTGGGTCGTTTGCGCAACTCGCCATAACTTTCTTCTAAGTGAGACAATCTTTATGATTCTGTTTTCATTTTGTTGCACTTATTGAGATCTACAAAATGAAACCAAAAGCATAAAGATTGGCTCACTTAGAAGAAAGTTATGGCGAGTTGCGCAAACGACCCAGTTGCGCAAGTGACCCTGTTGCGCAAAAAAAGTTGCGGAAACTAGCCTACCCCAAATTCCCGAAGAACTTTTAGCACTTTTTTTGTACTTTTTTTTTATTAAACAAAAGATATTCAGCTTTAATTATATCTTTTCTTAATGTAGAAATACTTTTATCTGTAGTTATTCAAAAAATTTTCCAGATTCCCCATCTCTTCATGGGTTTCTTCAGCTCGACCGTCGATCATTTCCATTTCGGATCAAATTCAATCAAGAAACCGATCGCTTTCGCCTATATTCTGTCCACTCTTTACAATGTGACATTTTTCGTGCAATTCATGGCTTTCCCATACATCGCAAAAGAGCTTCAAATAGCCGACACGCATATTGGTGGGTTTGAAGTAAACATGGGCCTTACAAACTACAAGATCAGACTATAAACCCTTGTAGAATTGCGTAGAATAGATATTTTTAAATACTCTTTTTACCAAAAAATCGGGCCAACTTTAGGCTTTCGAACAACAATAAAACCAAGAAAATCCACCATTTGTACTTCGAGAACGAGCGATTTATAGCCGTTTGTAGTCTCGTCCCACGGGACAAAACTACAAACCTGAAAAAAAAAACGTTATATCTCAGTGCAGAGAACATGATTTGGCTTGATTTTGGTGTCATTCGAAAGCCTAAATTTGGCTTGATTTTTTGGTAAAAATAGTTTTTAAAAATATCTATTCTACGCAATTTTACAAGGGTTTAAAGTCTGATCTTATAGTTTGTAGGGTCCATGTCTAGTTTGAAGAGTTTGTACTTTTCCTACGGTATCGGAGTTGTGAAAAAGAATGCACGAGGGTCGTTTTACTAGAAAGAATACGGTATCTAATGACTGAATTTCCAGGTTACATCGCCACCCTCTTCGGTCTCCTTCAAGTACTCGGTGGCCCAGTATTTGGCCATATCACTCAAAAGTACGGTGTTCGAGTGGCGCTATATTTCTGCTATGGATCAACTCTTGTATCTGCATTGATTATGTACAATGTTAATGTAAGGAAAAATACAGTACTGGACAATGAAATATCATATTTGAAAAAAGATCTTCACTTTCGCGCGTCTGTAACTCCCTTGTCTTTACCGTATTTCTAAATATTAATATTTAAAAAAAAACTTACGTGTCATCCCATCGAAAATAAAGAAAAGCGAGCGAGTCGAAAGCTTCCGCTAACACAGAGATATCAGGATGAGTGTAAGGCACTGTAAATCGATATAGATAGATAGATACAGTACTGGACAATGAAATATCATATTTGAAAAAACGATCGTCACTTTCGCGCGTCTGTAACTCCGTTGTCTTTGAGTTTAAACTATTAGTGTTATACATTTTCTGAAAGCTCTTTTCAAGGGCTACACAATGGTAATATTAATATTTAGAAATACGGTAAAGACAATGGAGTTACAGACGCGCGAAAGTGACGGTCGTTTTTCAAATATCATATTTCATTGTCCAGTAGTGTAGTTTATTGTTAAAATAAAGATTTTTTTTAGGGTTTATACGGTATGTATTTCTCTCGATTGCCCGTCTTTTTCATGCACGGTCAACAAGGACATCAAACATTGTTGTCATTGTTGACAGCACCGGGAAAAGAAAGGACGAATGCTTTTGGAAGGATGGGACTCACTTTTGGTTGGTGATTGGAGAAAATGAGAAAGATATACACCGAGGACTCCGGATGTCGTTTATTCGGCACGACAATTGCACACACAATACTAGGCTAGATCTTAACTTAATCTACGCCTACATTCTCGACGACTCCCTAATCCCTAGTCCTATTGGATGATCACTAGATAGCTTGATCTCTAGATTTTGGTGGTGAAGAGAGGGCGAAAACGGGAAGGCTTCTCGCATAGCTTGTTCATAGGTTCATAGCAGAAGAGCTTAGCTACAAGGTTCATAGCTCTTAAGCTATGAACCTTGTAGTTTGTAGGGCCCATGTCTACTTCAAACCCGCCAATATGCGTGTCGGCTATTTGAGGCTCTTTTTCGATGTATGGGAAAGTCATGAATGCACGAATTGCCCGAAAAATGTCACATTGTAAAGAGTGGACAGAATATAGGCGAAAGTGATCGGTTTCTTTATTGAATGGGATCGAATCCGGGTCTCTAATTCTACAGGCAGCCACACTGTTGATAAAGATAAAGATGATACGAGATAGATATTGGGTTGGGGAGAATGAGTCGGCGCCGAAAATGAAAAAAATGTCTAAAAATTCTATTCGACTTCGTGAAATAATATGCGTTTGATATGAGTAGAATGGTTAACTAATTCTCTACAAAATCACATTTAAAAGAAAATTCAAACAGCGCCTCCGCTCAAGAAAAAGCCATTTTTTCACAAAAACTACAAACTGTGATCTAGAAAAAACCATTGGTGGGATCTTCCTGCAAATTTGGCAACTTAAGTAATTGAATGTGCTCTATCTTTTTTATATAAACACCAAAGAAGGTTTATGTGAAAGAAACTGTTCAAATGATGAGTCGGACTCTTTGCCATTTTAACCAGCTGCGTTTGGAAATTCATAAACTCCACGAAAGAAAAGCTTTGTGGAATCTCTCAAAAGTGATTTTGTAGAGAAATAGTGGATCCTTTTGATGAAACCAAACGTATGTTTAAAGAAGGCTTTATGTGTGCAAAAAGTCCCTTTAAAGTTTGGCGCCGACTCATTCTCCCCAACCCAATACTAGGCACAATTGTGGTTTAAAGTTTCAATCCTTTAACCCTTTCCAGGAATCTCTTTCATTTTAACGCCGGTGATCACCCTCTCATCCACCTATATTTTTGGATCAAGGGGAGCAATGCTGACAATTGCAATGCTTGGAGTGCTGCCATTTGTGATATTCGAGATGTGTTTACAGAGGAAGGATTACGATCATGTGAGCGCTATGATAGTGAAAATGACAAGTACTAGATGAGACATGCAAAGCCAAGACCCAGCCATCACCCAGGTGGTCCTGGCTTCTAGTCTGACTTATCAGAAGTCAGTCTCTACTGGAGACTCGGATCAGACGGGTCAGACTAGGTCTACAATAAGCTAGGTCAGCCGAAGTCAAAGCCCGGGCCAGCACCTGGCTTTGGCTTGATCTAGCCTAACCAGACCAAATCGATAAAGGATCTGTAAGCCAGGCAAGGCCTACAATAAGCCTTAACCCAAAAAACAATAAAGATTCATATAAAGTTCAATGATGAATCTTTTCAGTCCGATCCCTCCTCCACATCCACCAAACCTCTGACCGCTGCGGTCAATTGGTCTTCCGCGGTTCGCGTGCTCAAAAAGCCAGGCACTCTTAACATTCTCTTCAAGAAAAACGCTCCAATAATGCCTGCATTATTGACATTTTCGATCTTACAAGTAAAAACAAATAAAAAACCAGTGTAATTCACAATTTCTTTTTAGATTTACACAATCAACGCGTTTCAATCGACTCAAGAAACAAGTTCATTGATTCAAATGTTAGCTGGAGCTTGTATAATGTTTAGGTAAAGTTGAAAAATGGTTAAAAGAGATTTTCAAGTAATATTTAGCAATGGTTTTGGTGTGATTTGGTTGCGAAAACATTTCGATGAGCAACGAATTCTTCAAGTTGGACTCGTTTCCTTTGTAAGTCTATTAAAAAGTTTTAATATAAAAATTTTCGCATTAAAATAGAGAATCCTATAAATATTGTCAAAATCTATAAAAATGAAAGCTTTCCATTCCAGTTCTTTGCCTTTTTCTTCTTGATTTTCTATGTTCGATTGTGGATGATTTGCATCATTATGCCGTTAACTTCAATGGGTAAACAATGATAAAATTTTCTGGAATAACATTTTTCTAGGCATGTCATTAGTAGCAACTGTAGCTGACTCGTTATTGACATCGATGGTTGAAGAGGATGAACAGGTAAAAACATTTCAAACAATCTATTCAACCTTTCAATTTCAGGGTGTCGTTCTTGGAGTGGCCACCTCGTTAAACTCGTTTGTTCGAACATTTTCCCCAGCATTATCCGGGCAATTGTTAGCCATGTAAGTTTAAAAGACAATCTATTTTAGAAAACATGACTTTAGTTCATGATCCATTTCATGATCCATTTCATGATCCAGTTCATGATCCAGTTCATGATCCAGTTCCTAATTCAGTTCATGATCCAGTTCATGATCCAGTTCCTAATTCAGTTCCTAATTCAGTTCATGATCCAGTTCATGATCCAGTTCATGATCCAGTTCATGATCCAGTTCATGATCCAGTTCTTGATCCAGTTCATGATCCAGTTCATGATCCAGTTCCTAATTCAGTTCATGATCCAGTTCATGATCCAGTTCATGATCCAGTTCCTAATTCAGTTCATGATCCAGTTCATGATCCAGTTCATGATCCAGTTCCTAATTCAGTTCATGATCCAGTTCATGATCCAGTTCATAATCTTTTTAGAACTCACACTCATTTTGTGATTAATCTAACAATTCATTTACATAGTCAATAGCAAGATCAGCAGATCAATAGTTTGTAAGCAAGGCTCTCGAAAATTCACCAGAATCGATACCAAAGTTCTGGCTGAAATCTTCATCAGATTTCCTTGTAAGTTTAAAGGCATCAAGTACTTGCCATTGAATTTGATGCTAAAGAGACTGAGAATGGGAAACTGCTGATACTGCTGAGACTTTTTCATTAGTAAAAGCCACTCAAAAATGGAAGCCATCTCAAACTGATAATGAGTTCTGAAAAGGAGACTAAACTGGGGAAACTATAGTACTAGTGAAGAACCAAAATTCACTTTTCACTTTTCTTTTCAGCTACGGTTTCCCGATCTTCGGCATTCTCGGTATTTGGGGCACTGTGCTTGGGTTGATCGCTTGCCACTTCTACCCGATTGATCCAAATTTGATTCGGAAAGAGAAATCTGATGAAGAGTCAAAGAAAACTGATTAGATTTTGATTTATTTTTGATGAACTTTTGGGTTCTTTCACGGGTTTCTCCACACTTATGCACTTTTCTCGAAATTTCTAGTCAATCATTGTTTCAGTTTTTACTGTGAATCATCTTTTTAAAGTTTTAGGAAGTAAATTTTTCATAAAAAGGTAATTTTGTTTGCCGTAAACATTCAATCATTTCTGAAAAGCTTTCTATAAAAGCCAATTAGTAAAAGCTAAAAATGCACCTGTTCTGAATGTAATTGAAAACGGTCCGATGTCGATTCGGGGATAACACGTTTTAGCCACGAATCAACATCTGAGATTTCACTATAACAAGCTCTCAAGCCGGTTTAATTACCCGATATTTGTGCGGAACCTCGGCGTCGCTTGTAGGAAAAAGCGACGTCTGGTGCAACTCACCGAATGTGAGATCGTCTCAAGTTCAGTCGTTCGATTGAATTACCGATTGATAGTGTATTTTTTTTAATCAACTTTCCTCACTGCTCTGGGTAGTGGCGGTCAGAACGGCACGGCAACGCGCGCCCTCATGTTGCAAAACTGACTCGCTCTAAAATAAATAGCCTTGGTTGGGAACTTTTGGTGATACAGTCCGGACCTCGCCCCTTCTGATTCCTATTTATTTCGGACCATGAGTCTTCGGAGCTTGCGGGAGAACACTTCGATTCGGAAGAAGCAGTCAAAAATTGGCTCCAAAAGTTTTTCGATTCAAAACCAAAATCCTACTACGAAAGAGGAATCCGCAAATTGTCTGTAAAATGGGCAGAAGTCGTCAATAATAATGGAAATTATTTGGAATGAATTCATGGTTTTATGTTCAATGAATTTTAGTTCAAAGTCCGGCAGTTTTCAATGCATCAACCCAATAGAATATCATTTATCGATTTCGAATGTAATAAAATACTGTGTTCCGTCTAGCCGTCGGGATCGAAATCCGTTGTCTAAATGTGGTCGATCCAATGACGACTGTTGAAGTGCTACCTGAAAGCTTTTTGAAAAAATCTTTCAAGTATGATCACTTACTAGGCTTGCTTTTGCTGCAAAATAGGAGCAAATATTTTCGATAGAGAGCGCTGGTGAAAATGGTGATCGAAGAGCTGATAATATTCGTCAAACAGATGGACATGATTGCGAAAGTCCCTGAAAATAGACTGTGTTTCTATCGTAACGAGTTTCAAGTAAGTACAAACATTATCAACTCGTTCCCGTAATATCTTGACCATATTATACCCTCGTTCTTCTAATTTGTAGAAAAAAGGAATCAAATTTGTACACAAAAGGATCCCTAAATCATTTCCCCTTTCTCTTTCTATCGTAATCTTGTCTTTATTTTTATTCAATCAATCAACTTTTTGTATCTTTCGATATCCTTCGTAAACTCTCACAGAATTCGACAAAAAGTGGATAGATTGAATGGAGACAAGATTACGGTAGAAAGAGTAAGGAAATACGTTTTAGGAAACGAAAAGAACATAATACAGTATCCTTTTTACAGCATTCGGCCCAGGGTTTTAAAAATACCGACTGGGGCTACCAGTGGTGAATTTATCGCATACACGAAATATATCAATCACAATACAACGACACACACAATACTAGGCTATATCTTAACTTAACCCACGTCATGACAGACGGCTCCCTAACCCTAAGCTCAATGGGGAACTAAATAGCTTTTTTGGTGGTGAAGGGAAGATGACGATGAAGGAGTGGCTTGTCACTTTAAAGAACTGGGGCCACAACCACCAGACTGCCCTCCAGAAAACCTCTCAACCCGAAGGGAAAGGAAATCCGAAGGGGGTGACCATGTCGCATGTGGGGTTCGAACCCTCGACCTTCCGATTAAGATAAAAGACACTTAACCAGTCAGCCACACGTGCTCTATAAGGTTTGATATAAGTATTTATTCTATTAAATTCTATTAAAAGACGCTCTCTAATATAAGACGCGTCTTTTGATTTCTCTTAAATTCTATTTTTTGCGCTAACTACCGTAATCCTTGGCTTTTTGTTCTTTCTGTTTTTTAAAAATTTCATTTTATCTTCTTGTAACCTTTGCTTTTAATTTTTAAAAATTTTCAATTTATTAATTAAGTTTAGTAATTTTTAAAATTTAGATGACGTCATTGAGTGATTGTCAAAGCAATTTGAGCAAACGAAAGTCGAGGTGTTACGACGCGTATTTCAAGCTGAAAGCAATCGGATATGCAAAGAAGAACAACAATCGAGAAGCGGGACGACATTTTGACGTCAGCGAGTACCAAATTCGTGCAGAAAGCAGGAGAAAGCAAGAAACGATCAATGCAAACCAGAAAATCAAAGAAGTTGTCTGATGGCAGACATCGGCTACGATTGTGCAAATTCGACAATGCCGTCTTGCAATGGATATTCCACAGGAGGCACAACGCGAATGTTTCAACCTGATGACTCTTAGGATGCTCATCTCTTAGAATCTCTTAGAATGGCCCATTCAAGAAGAAGATTCAAGAATACTATGACGAATGGATGCTCACTGGAGTCAGAGAAGTGATGTCTGGAGGAAATCTGAAAGCACCAGGAATAGAGATTCTATTTCTTCGTTAGATTCGATTAATTTGGACCTAGAAAACGAAGGCCTTGGACATGAGAAAACAAAGAAAATTTTGGATGAAAGCATTTTGGACTTAAATTGAGCAATGTTGTTTTTCTACATTTTTTTTTACACACAAAACTTACAAGCTTCCGTCAAAATGTCGCTATGCCAAAGAAAGATGACAATAGAGAATGGGACAAATATAAAGATGACATAAATCAACATCTGAACTTGATCTTGATTTGCTGTGATCTTGATTTGCTGTGAGCTTGATTATGACTGCAATACCTGTGCCGACATTGAATACAATAACACCAATGACATTTCCTTGACTCTTTTGTGCATACTCGTGTGATTTCGGATCGAGTAATTCGCGTGGAGGACTAAGAATAACAGAAAAAGAAGCACATATACAAGAAATATGCTAGAAAAACGCTCCATAAAAACTTCCATAAAAAAAATGATTGCTAACTTTATGGCAACGCCGACATCATGGAGATTCTCAATTCCACCGCAAGCCATTTCCGATAAATTAATACTTAATTGAGCCTAGAAACATTTGGAAGCTTGGAAGTTTGGAAACTAATAATTTTATCTCACCAAATCAATCTCTTCAACTTGCACAACCTTGAACGCCAAGAAAATAGCCAACGCGTATGAAAATCCAAATTTGACTTTGATTTGCCATGGTTTTAGACGGAAACGACTGTTTAATGGAACGGCAAGCTAAAGAAAAGAAAAATTGAATTTGATCAAACTCAACAAACGGTAAATACTGCAATAGTACTTCACTCTATAGGAGCGTCGCGTAGTCTAAGCTTACTCTCAAACAGTCTAAGCTTACTCTCAAAGAGTCTAAGCTTACTCTCAAACAGTCTAAGTTTACTCTCAAACAAACACTCATATCTCGACACCAGTACGTTTCTTTCTCCGCGCTTGGGTATCAAATTAAAGTAGAGAAAATGGGTGATTTTTTGAGATATAACACGTATTTTGAGCATTAACCAGCCCTTAGAAAAAAATGATTGAAAATGATGAAAAATCGACCCTTTTTTGCCACTTTTAAATCATTTTGTTCGAAGCTTAGAACAGACTACGCGACGCTCCTATAGAGGGCTTTTCTATTAGAAGATCAGCAAGATCAGGACCTTAATATTGAGCCAGACTCTTGATGTAAGACTACCAAAGCAGACTGACTCGCATTCTTGACCCGAATAGTAAGCCAGCCAAGACGCTGATCTTGCAAACCCTGCGCTTGGTCTTTTGAAATCGGGTGATGGCTGGCAGGCCCAGATGGTCTGGCTTGGTGGCTGGCCTAGCCTAACCTGACTTAGAGTTCATCTGATTAGAATCTAATACTAGAGTGCCAACTTTTGACTCAATGGTTCAATTTGTGGGTGGATTAGGTTCAGATTAGGATTAGGTTCAAGTCAGGATTAGGTTCAGATTAGGATTAGGTTCAGATTAGGATTAGGTTCAAGTCAGGGCTAACCCTTTGGTCCCAGTCTGACTAGCTTACCTGATGCCGGTAAAACAGTGCATGCCAATACGCGAAAATTGTCACAATCTGCGGGGCGACCGTGGCAGCCTTTAAAAGAATTTTGAAAGAATTCAAAACGACGATTTTCTTTACCACAGCGAATTCTTGGGGAAATAATTTTCCCAGATTGAAATATTCGCCAATAAGCATCGCAGACAAGACATATAAATTTTTTGAGTAACAGACAATTGGCCCTTGGTTCGTTTGGAGCATTAAATTCGGAACAAGCCAGACCCACGAAAGTACAGCAAACAGGCTAGAGGCCTAGAAATTTCAGAATTGACTTATTTAACTTACCTCGATAACTTACTTCAATGAAAATCAAATATTTCACATAGAGCTTTGATTTTATCGGCGTTGCACGATGAATGACAAAAAGTGTGACACTAGTTACAATGACTGAAAGTGCAGCGATGAGATTAAAAAGAAAATTGGTAATCGATAGAAATTGATCGATAAAAGTCATTTGGAGACTTTGCTTTGCTTTTCGAAATTTTCGAGTAACTTTTGTGGGCAGGTGGAAACGGCAAGTGGAATTGGATTGCTTGTCTCATAATAACCGAGGTTTTTTTTGTTTAAAAAGTATTAGCGATCGATAACTCTAGCGAGTTTAGCACAAAACTAGCGACAAAAATCAAAAATCAATCAATTACAATTGTTCAATTGTTCAAAAACAATTGTTCAAAGTTTCCTCCGTTGGCCTCAATTGCTATTCAACCAATTGCTGCTATTCAACCAATTGCTGCTATTCAACCAATTGCTGCTATTCAACCAATTGCTGCTATTCAACCAATTACTACTATTCAACCAATTGCTACTATTCAACCAATTGCTACTATTCAACCAATTGCTGCTATTCAACCAATTGCTGCTATTCAACCAATTGCTGCTATTCAACCAATTGCTGCTATTCAACCAATTGCTGCTATTCAACCAATTGCTGCTATTCAACCAATGGATATGGGGATCATAAAGAATAGGTTGAGGAAAAAAATAATGTCGGTCTTGAATTCCCCGTTGTTAGCGATGTTCCAGTTATTTCTTATGAGATTTTTCAAAAATAGATTTCAGCTAGACACTCTATCTTTTCATATTAAATTTGACTTTCACAAATTTTTACAAATTTGACAATATTTTCAGGCACAAAATGCAAGACGAAAAGTTTCGACTTCGAGCCGCTTTGTGGTATGATTTTAAACAAGGGAAATCCGCGGTTGAATCGCATCGGACAATCATTGAAGTTTTTGGGGGAAGACAGCATTAGCGAAAGACAATGCCAAAGATGGTTTCAGCGGTTTAAAGATGGAAATGAAAGTCTCCAAGACGAGGAACGGTCTGAACGACCCCAAGAGATTTCAGATGAGGATTTTCTTGATGCCATTGAACTCAATCCAACCCTTACCACTCGAAACTGTCACCGCTGATCTTTATTCAAAAAAAGTTGATGAGATTTGATGAGATGAGAAAAAAGTTCAATTGTTCGAAAAAAATTGTTCAAAGTTTCCTCCGTTGGGCTCAATTGCTATTCAACCAATTGCTGCTATTCAATCAATTGCTGCTATTCAATCAATTGCTGCTATTCAACCAATTGCTGCTATTCAACCAATTCGCTGCTATTCAACCAATGGATATGGGGATCATAAAGAATTTGAAGATAAAATATTAGGTTGAGGAAAAAAATAATGTTGGTTTTGAATTCCCGTTATTGGCAATTTTCCAGTTCTTTGCTTATGCGATTTTTTTTTTCAAATAGATTTCAGCTAGACACTCTAGCCTTTCACTGCTATAGAGAGTACTGTAGGTCTGTAGGGTGTCGTCAAGACCTTAAAGATCTTGTAGCTGATGTAGGGGATACTGTACGCTTTCTCAGCATTTATTTCGTCGACTTAATATAATAAAAAACATTATTGCTTCTCGCAGTCGGTATCAGCGTTTGTCTCTTTGACGCAATCGAGTTGGCAACCATTGTAACTTTACCTAAATTTTGAATTCTTTAAAAAGAAATGATCTTTCGGGAGTGGGACAAATGCGACCTTTGCTGCTATTGCTTTTTTTTGCGCACCCGGACATTTGCGCACCTTTTTTTTCCGCACCTTGCCCATTAGCGCATCTTTTTTCGCGTTTTCAAAAAGCTCTAAAAGCTAATATTAATCAATTTCTATTCCAAAAGTTCTTTTTCTAGGTAATTTTAGGGCGTAGAATCGAAATTTTTGCATATCAGAGCTTGTGGAAGCGAACGGACGGAGTTCTACAAAGAGAAAGATCGACAATTTTCTGTAATTTGATCTAGCGATTTTGATCTAGCCGTTTTGTCTTTCAAATTGGTTCCACACGCTCTGATATGTCAAAATTTCGATTCTACGCCCTAAAATTACCTAGAAAAACAACTTTTGGAATAGAAATTGGTTAATATTAGCTTGTATAAAATATTAGCTCTTTGTATAACTCCGTCCGTTCGCTTCCACACGCTCTGTTATGTCTTCATCCAGCTTCAGTCATGGTGTAGGGATCATGGGTCACTCAGGTCAAGAGTCAAGCATATTTGAACATATTGTGACAAGACGTTTTGCCTTGAGCTCAATCTCATTTTCGGCACCGTAACTGGGTCTTTCAGCAAGATGAAGCACCGACTCACAATTCTCAAATGGTCCAGGATTGGTGCGAGCAGAGCCTACTTGATTTCATCTCATTTAGCGAGCCGTCCGATTTCCTTCAAGCTCGCCGAATCTTAATCTGCTTTCAGCTTAATCTTAGAAGCTAAGGCATGTGCTAAACCACATCGAATAGTTGAATGGTTAAAGAAAGCGCTTCTTAAAGGATGGGACGAGCTTGATGTTGCCTGTCGGAGTCGGTCGGTCGTTCCTTGGAGTCGGGTTGCCTGAGAACGCAGCCTTAAGCGGGTGGTAAACTTCATCTAAGGCTAAATATGGCTACGAGACCGATCGCAAACAAGTACCGTGAGGGAAAGTTGCAAAGAACTTTGAAGAGAGAGTTCAAGAGTGCTTGAAACCACTGGAGTCGAAACGGATCGAGTCGACGTAACGAGGCAACATTCAACCGATCCTTCGGGCCCGGTGCACTTGTTGTCTGTATGCGCTGAGAGCGTTGATTGTGCGCGTCGAGCCGGCACGTGTTGCCCACTGTGGTATCTTGCGTGTTGGGGAGACGTGTCGTGACTAGCGTGATTCGGTGTGCAAGTCGATCACCTATCCGACCCGTCTTGAAACACGGACCAAGGAGTCCAGAGTTGACGCCTTCCGTCCATCTCTTGACGAGTGCTGACGAATGAATTTGTTCCACAAGCTCTGATATGCCAAAATTTCGATTCTACATCCTAAAATCACCTCAAAAAACAACATTTGGAATAGAAATTGGTTAATATTAGCTTTTTAGAGCTTTTTTGCTTTTTGAAAACGCGAAAAAAGGTGCGCTAATGGGCTAAGTGCGGAAAAAAATGGTGCGCAAATGTCCGGGTGCGCAAAAAGTGCGCAAAGAAAAGGTCGCATTTGTCCCACTCCCGATCTTTCAACAATACTTGATCTTTGTCGAGAACAATAAAGAAACATTTCTTTCAAATATTTTCGATAAACCCGGCTTGTGAGTATTGTAATCGATGAACAAACAATGTTACTGATACAAAAAATCATTGAAGCCAGAGTCCCTAAAAGAAAAAAACTAAAGAAATTACTCGATTCTAGACAAGAATTCGATTTAATTTCTTTACAAAAACAAAACTTACAAGTCTCCGTAAAGATTTCGGCGTTGAAAAGAAAAATCAGCACGGTAAACGGTAGAAATATCAGAAGAATAAAGACAAATATCTCAAATTGTGAAATTTTTGAAAGTTTTTTATGCCAAAACCTGACTCGACATTGAATACAATAAAGCTAGCGATAATTCCTGTACTTTCTTATGCATATTAACATGGCTATGAATTGAGATATAGGAATGGATAACTAAAACGGACAAGCCAAAAGATCCGAGGGTCATCGCGATTCTGAAATCATTAGATTAGTATTTAGGGTTTGAAAGAAAACGAAGTTTAGTTAATTGTTTGGAAAGATTACAGATTTGGTTTGAAAGATTGGATTGGAAAGATTGGATTGGAAAGATTGGATTGGAAAGATTGGATCGGAAAGATTGGATTTGAGAGATTGGATCTGAAAGATTGGATTGGAAAGATTGGATCTGAAAGATTGAAACCGAAAGATTGGAACTGAAAGATTGGATCGGAAAGATTGGATCTGAAAGTTTACAAAAAAGCTTCCAAAAGCTATGACTAGCCAAGCCTAGTTAAGCTAAACCAATGGCTTTCTTTCTGGTTTGACCTTGGAATTTGGTCTTTTGCTTTTTGCTAACCCTGGACTCCAGGTTAGACTAAAACCAGAGCCTGAATTCTGCTCGGGTCACAGGGTCTGGAAGCCAAGCCAATTTCGAAGCCAAGTCTGGAAGCCAGGCCAATTTCGAAGCCAAGTCTGAAAGCCAGGCCAATTTCGAAGCCAAGTCTGAAAGCCAGGCCAATTTCGAAGCCAAGTCTGGAAGCCAGGCCAATTTCGAAGTCAAGTCTGGAAGCCAGGCCAATTTCGAAGCCAAGTCTGGAAGCCAAGCCAATTTCGAAGTCAAGATCTTCTAATTGGCCATAATTGCAAGCCAAGCCAATCAGAAGCTTGTAAACAAATCCAGTTTCAGTCTTGATCTATTCATAGGCCCTGGTCTGGCTTGTTTTGAATCGATTTTCGTTGGAGCTATAAAGTTGGACACGCCGATCCTTTTATGGGTTGGAGCTGGGAATACGGGAAGCTGGAAGATTACATTAAAATTACAATAGCTGGAAGATTACATTAAGCCTGAGCCTAAGCCATGGTCGGCGCGATCTCTCGCTTGCCTGGCAAACACTCTATCAATGAGCTACACCGACCCCATTGCCGAGTAACCCATTGCCGTTAGAGCTTTATGCCTTACTATTATTATAAATTTACCCCATCCGAACACCAATCAAATTCAATTTTCCAAAAGCACAATGCACAGGCGTCGTTTGCAGTAATCGACTCATTTCTGGTGAGGTGATTTTCGTCTAAAAGATTTGATCAAAGTTATCGAAAATCTTCAAACTAAATCTTCAATCGTTTCCAGAAAAGATCCTTGAATTATACAAATAGCACAAAATAAATAAACAATTATAAAAGATATATTCTTTTGCCAGGGTTTCAAATGGAAGCGGCTACCGTACTTGACACAAATCTAAAGTAGAATTTCTGAAGATAATCTGAAGATAATCAAACCTGATGCCTGTAAAAGAGTGCATGGGAATAAGCAGCAACCGTTGTGGCGCAAGCAAGATAGGTAAAAAACTGAAAAGAAAAGATGAGGATCACAGTGAGCGAGCTTTTCAATTGTGGAATCAAGCCAGTTGTTGTTGTTGTTGTTGTTGTTGTTCTTGTTCTTGTTACTCTTGTTGTTACTCTTGCTGTTGCTCTTGTTGCTCTTGTTGTTCTTGGTGTTCTTGTTGTTCTTGTTCCTCTTCTTGTTCTTGTTCTTGTTCTTGTTCTTGTTCTTGTTCCTCTTCTTGTTCTTGTTCTTGTTCTTGTTCTTGTTCTTGTTCTTGTTCTTGTTCTTGTTCCTCTTCTTGTTCTTGTTCTTGTTCCTCTTCTTGTTCTTGTTCTTGTTCCTCTTCTTGTTCTTGTTCTTGTTCCTCTTCTTGTTCTTGTTCCTCTTCTTGTTCTTGTTCTTGTTCTTGTTCTTGTTCTTGTTCTTGTTCTTGTTCTTGTTCCTCTTCTTGTTTTTGTTCTTGTTCCTCTTCTTGTTCTTGTTCTTGTTCTTGTTCTTGTTCTTGTTCTTGTTCTTGTTCCTCTTCTTGTTCTTGTTCCTCTTCTTGTTCTTGTTCTTGTTCCTCTTCTTGTTCTTGTTCTTGTTCTTGTTCTTGTTCTTGTTCTTGTTCCTCTTCTTGTTCTTGTTCTTGTTCCTCTTCTTGTTCTTGTTCTTGTTCTTGTTCTTGTTCTTGTTCTTGTTCTTGTTCTTGTTCTTGTTCCTCTTCTTGTTCTTGTTCTTGTTCCTCTTCTTGTTCTTGTTCTTGTTCTTGTTCTTGTTCTTGTTCTTGTTCTTGTTCTTGTTCCTCTTCTTGTTCTTGTTCTTGTTCCTCTTCTTGTTCTTGTTCTTGTTCTTGTTCTTGTTCTTGTTCTTGTTCTTGTTCCTCTTCTTGTTCTTGTTCTTGTTCTTGTTCTTGTTCTTGTTCTTGTTCTTGTTCTTGTTCTTGTTCCTCTTCTTGTTCTTGTTCTTGTTCCTCTTCTTGTTCTTGTTCTTGTTCTTGTTCTTGTTCTTGTTCTTGTTCCTCTTCTTGTTCTTGTTCTTGTTCCTCTTCTTGTTCTTGTTCTTGTTCTTGTTCTTGTTCTTGTTCTTGTTCTTGTTCTTGTTCTTGTTCCTCTTCTTGTTCTTGTTCTTGTTCCTCTTCTTGTTCTTGTTCTTGTTCTTGTTCTTGTTCTTGTTCTTGTTCTTGTTCTTGTTCTTGTTCCTCTTCTTGTTCTTGTTCTTGTTCCTCTTCTTGTTCTTGTTCTTGTTCTTGTTCTTGTTCTTGTTCTTGTTCTTGTTCCTCTTCTTGTTCTTGTTCTTGTTCTTGTTCTTGTTCTTGTTCTTGTTCTTGTTCTTGTTCTTGTTCCTCTTCTTGTTCTTGTTCTTGTTCCTCTTCTTGTTCTTGTTCTTGTTCTTGTTCTTGTTCTTGTTCTTGTTCTTGTTCTTGTTCTTGTTCCTCTTCTTGTTCTTGTTCTTGTTCCTCTTCTTGTTCTTGTTCTTGTTCTTGTTCTTGTTCTTGTTCTTGTTCTTGTTCCTCTTCTTGTTCTTGTTCTTGTTCTTGTTCTTGTTCTTGTTCTTGTTCTTGTTCTTGTTCTTGTTCTTGTTCTTGTTCCTCTTCTTGTTCTTGTTCTTGTTCTTGTTCTTGTTCTTGTTCTTGTTCTTGTTCTTGTTCTTGTTCTTGTTCCTCTTCTTGTTCTTGTTCTTGTTCCTCTTCTTGTTCTTGTTCTTGTTCTTGTTCTTGTTCTTGTTCTTGTTCTTGTTCTTGTTCTTGATAAACTTGATAAACTTGATAAACTTCATCAACTTTTGCCAAACAAACCAAAGAGAATTCTTGTGGAAATGCTGGATTCAATGTGAATCGATCGCGAATAAAAGTGCCAATGAAGATATAGAAACTCGAGTGATAGCAAATGATCGGACCATCGCTTGTTTGAGCCGCGAGATTTGGAGCCAACCAAGCCCATGTGATCACGATGTTTAAGCCGGAGATCTGCGGTTAAGGATTGAAAGCAGTTTTAAAGAGAAATCGATCGAGCGACAGGTAATTGTATCTGAGTCGAGAGCTTAAGGGTTCAACTATCCGCCAGATTTTTGCTTCCTTTCCCAATATATTGTATTTTTTCAACTTATGCCAATCTAAAGCTTGTCCTGACCTGGTTGGACCTGACGATGAGCCAGATAAGGTAAATCTAGGTCGATCTTGGACCTAGGCCAGTCGAGCTAAGGCTTTAGACCAGGCCTGGGACCTAATCCTTAAAGAAATCAAGTCCGGACCATGCGATCTGATCTGACTTCTTTTACTGATCATTGAACGATTTCTGATTAAGCAGTGTAAAACAAAAGAACTCATAGTAACTGTTTGTGAATGAAAATATTTCCTAACTCACCTCAATCACAACCAAAAACCTCGCGTATATCCTCGATTTTTTCGGTGTTGCTTTGTAGATGATAAAAATCGTGATCCCAGTTATAATAACCGAGGAAATTGCTATAAAATGAAAGCTGATTCCAGTAAACAAAAAAAATAACTCCATTGAATTCATTTTGATTTGAAAAATCGATCATGAATTTTTAAATTGGCGAAGTTGGTTGGTTGGGGGATAGACTGAAAAGTACAGGTGAAATCGAGGCGTTTTCAGGTGTTTCAGGTGATTATTTAAGACTGCTATTACAGAAGGAAGTCATAGAGATTATAGAGGTTATAGAAGTGATAGAAATGATAGAAGTTATAGAGATTATAGAGATTATAGAGATTATAGAGATTATAGAGATTATAGAGACTATAGAAATGATAGAAATGATAGAAAAAATATTCTATTAATGATAGGAATCAGCAATTCAATTAGTTAAATGTTTAAATCATCAATGTCTCATTTACTTTAGCTTTGGACGATTTTATCAAATGTGAAGCAAAGGCAGACAAGGTTAGACCTTGCTTAACTTCTTTAACTTTACTGCTTAACTTTTATGACTCTAGCTAAAGTCAAGGCAAAGCAGCCAGAAGTTAAATCTTTGATTTGGCTTTACAGACATGGCCCACAAAACTCCTTGGGCCTGTCAGAAGTCAGACTTTGAAATGGCTTTGGCTGGGGTTGGGCCTGTCAGAAGTCAGACTTTGAAATGGCTTTGGCTGGGGTTGGGCCTGTCAGGTTAGTTGTCAAATCCATCGCTAAATCCTTATCTAACAAAGCCATTCGCAAGATAAGGCTTGATATAGATAAACTTACTACTAGAAAGTTCAATGTAATGCTAGTTAAATCCAAAAAGTTAAACATTTCAGCTATCAGACTAAAATAAAGCCTAATTACAGTATGCGTTCCAGATTGCCTATTGCAAAAGTCAAAAAACCGAAAACTTGCAATACTTCCAAAATTTTGAGCCCTAAGCCCTGCTCTGCGTGTCAGATTGATCAAAAATTATCGAAATTTCGAGTTCTTTCATTGCCAAAGCTTTGAGTGCGCTCCAGATCACCCAGAACACTTGTAATGTACCTCGAAAAGGTATGCTCAGTTATGAAATAGTACACTGTACTTTTAAATCATTTTTCTTCAGTCCTGTTGTGTGAGAATTTCTGTAATTTTCACCTGTCTTTTTCGCGTGATCTTTTCACTGAAAGTCTACGTTTAAAGAATCGATCTTGTTATTTCTCCAATGGTTTTCACAATTCGTGATTTCTTGTTCATCACAGATATCATTCTGAATGTCATTTGTATCATTTCGATCATTGTCACTCTTTTCACCGTTTTTATTATTGTTGGAGCGACGCCAGTGAAATCGAGATATTACGCGAGATTTCTGTTATGGATTGAGGTTGGGCTGTACTTTGTACTTTGTACTTTGAGTCACGTAAACGCATCTCAGCTAGGAAGCGATTCTTGCCGCTTTTTAAAGCATGCCCCATACCGTAACCTGTCTTTTTCTTTAGATCTTTAGCTTTGTTAGATTCACGAAGGCATTTGTTTATCAATAAAATTGGCTTAAAATTTGCTAGAGGGTCCGTCTGTCTGTCCGTCTGTCCGTCTGTCCGTCTGTCCGTCTGTCTCTCTGTCCGTCTGCCTGTCTGCCTGTCCGTCTGTCTGTCCGTCTGCCTGTCTGTCTGTCTGTCCGTCTGTCCGTCTGTCTGTCCGTCTGTCCGTCTGTCCGTCTGTCTCTCTGTCCGTCTGCCTGTCTGCCTGTCCGTCTGTCTGTCTGTCTGTCTGTCCGTCTGTCTGTTCCGAATTTCGCATTAACTTTTTTCTATCTCCACTTACTAGGGAATGTCGTTAAAAAAATCAAAATCATATCAAATCAAATCAAATCAAAACATTTTCATTGAAAGGACTCGAACCCTCGGGGTTCAAAAGGGCGTACGCCCAGCAGACGCGCGCACTAACCACTACACCACCGAGACCGTTGGATGACGATAGTGCGTCGCCCTCATAAAGAGACCTCAAAAGCTTGTATGCCAAAAATCTCGCGATAGAGAAGCATTTGGCAAAAACTGATTACAGATTCGGAATCAGCGTGAAAAACTGCATCAGATAGGCTATTTCCCGAGTCAAAAGCCATGATAAGTTAACAACATTCCCTAGTTATGCTGTTCATTTTGTTGAAAACTGATTTACAGACTTTCCTGGATACGTGTTTCTAGTCTTAAATGATTTCTAGAGATTCATTTAAGACAGAGAGTCTTAAATGAATCTCTAGGAGTCATTTGTCTGTCTGTCTGTCTGTCTGTCCGTCTGTCTGTATGTCTGTCTGCCTGTCTGACCGTCTGTCTGCCTGTCCGTCTGTCTGTCTGTCTGTCCGTCTGCCTGTCCGTCTGTCTGTCTGTCTCTAGACTCTAAAAATCATTGAAGTACTAAAGCTGTTTTTCAATCATAAAATAAAAAGTTTCTCTTGGTAAAAATAGATAGATTCAAGCGAGTTTCATAAATTTTATCAATATATCAAAAACTATTTTTGAAGCTTTGTTCCCTATTGACTGTGATCTTTTGTGCTTGGTTGTCTCCAATTGTGGCGGCTGAGACGAAAAATGGACTGCTGGTGTGCCTCCGGCAAAGGCCATTCATCTACATTACTCGAAAAATCACCGACATTTTCCAAGCGGATCCGATCATTTCTTTAGCTATCACAAAGGTGAGCTAGATGAGAGCTTTAGCTATCTACAATCAAAGATTTCAGTTCTGTTTCGACTTTCTCTGTGCCAGCAATGTGCTTGGGTATTTCCATGCGCTTGTTTATAGGCATCAGGTGTGATTTTGCAAGAAATAGATCAATGGGAATCGATTTCTGAATCTTTTTATTGTTAGACATAGAGACTAGCTGTTGACAGAGGTGTTTAAAAAGACAGAGGTGACAGTTGACAATCAGAGGTGTTTAAAAGCAAGTTTCGAGACAGTCTTGTTTGGCTTTACTCCATCAAATCAAACGGCCAGACAGACAAGAAGACAGGCAGACAGACAGACAGACAGACAAGAAGACAGGCAGGCAGACAGACAGACAAACAGGCGGACAGACAAATGATTCCTAGAGATTCCATCAAATCTTAAATCCCAAATCTCGCAACAACTCTTCTTCAATAGTTTTTGAAATAAAATTCTTTTAGGTTTCAGTAAGAGACAAATCTCGTCTTCATCTCAATAAATGGAAACGTTATCTGTTAAATATTAGCGCTTACGTTTGCACAGCAATTGGATTGGGGATAATTGAAGCTGGGTTGACATCGGTGGATATGGTGAGTTCTTATGGTTACTAGTTGTGCTATTAGCTATTAGCTATTAGCTAAAATCGTGCACAGATTCGACTGGATTTGAGCTTGGTTTTACAAGGCTTTACAAAGGCCTGGCGGCTAGATCTTCTCCTGAAAATTGAGACATCTCCGGCTCTCGTGGGGAAATTTCGGCGAAAGCTTCCGGGAGCTTGGACGGTGATGGAGCATCGATGTCACCTTGAAATCGATGATTCGATGAAAGTACGCCTTCCGGAGCTCTGGAATTTACTTTTTAATTGTTTTGATTTTGATCTATCCTGAAAATTGAGACAAAATGCTAATCAATTGCTCAAATCCAGTCCAATCTGTGGACAACAATAGCTATTAGCTAAAGTTGTGCACAGATTCAACTCGATTTGAGCTTGCTTTTGTTTTACAAGGCTTTACAAAGGCCTGGCGGCTAGATCTTCTCCTAAAAATCGAGACAAAATGCTAATCAATTACGGAACACTAAAATGAAATCCGTTTTTGCGAAAGAGCAATAGTTTTTTTTTTTTTTTGCAAAATTTTAGGTAATTTTTTGATTTTCACGATTTCTGGAATAAAGAATAAAGAATAAAGAAAAATAAAGAAAAATGATTGTTAGATTCGAGATTTATGACATTGTAGTGTCATAAATCTTATGCTATGACACTGTCGAAGCTTACGACTATGCCAAAAGCGGGAATTCGATATCCTGTGCAAATTAAAGTTCAAATTCAAACAACTATCTCAGTCATTGTCATTACCTTCAGCAGTTTATGAATGAAAACAAACTCAATCTTGATTTACAATAGAATAGAGCAAGGTATAAAGCCATACTCTAACGGCAATGGGTTCTGTAGCAGTGTAGCGTGTTGGTGAGTGTTCGCGAGCTCGAATCCCAGCTCCAACCCTGCCTAACTAAATTCTGTGTCTCGTGCAAAACAAAGTTCAAAATTAAACAAGTCCTATTCTTTTGCGATTCGAAACCTTGGAGATAGCCGATTGGGAACCTCAGAGCTGGTCCAAGAAAGTTCCTAACTGTCGTTGAATTCCAGTCGGAAATCGAATTCCTCAACCCTGAGCTTTCCTCATATTTTCTCTCATCTGATTTCAATTGTGCCGTTTTTCGCTCATACGTCACTTATATGACAATCGTTGTCGGGTAAGCTTCAATTAAACAATTAAATCAGACAACAATCCACCTCAGCCTAAGCCTAAGCCTGAGCCTGAGCCTAAGCCTAAGCCTAAGCCTCAGCCTGAGCTTGAGCCTCAGCCTAAGCCTAAGCTTGAGCTTGAGCCTAAGCCTAAGCCTAAGCCTAAGCCTAAGCCTAAGCTCTCCGTTTCGTAATCTCCATGTGATTACTTTCAGCATTGGTGCCTTCGGGGCATTTGTTGTGATGATCTTCTTGGTTCTTCACTCATATCTCTCAATTCGGAGCCATATGAATATGCATAAAAAGATCCAAGAGCTAGCTCTGAATCTCTTGTATTCAATGTCAGCACAGGTTGGTTGACAAGGTAAAATAAGAAAATTCGATTTTCTTTTCAGGTTTTTGTTTTTTCGATTCTTCTCTTCACTCCATTCACGGTTCTCGTCATTTTGTATGTGAATCGAGCGGTCGCTTTTACGCAAGCCTGTAAGTAGACAATCACCGTAACCTAAGCCTAAGCTATCGTAGTCTTCAGTTTTCTAAAACGTGTCCATTTTTGCAACTATTGTAATCCCTAGTCAAGCTGATCAAATATCGTAGTCCTCTTTTGTCTTTCTACCATTGGAAATCAATCTTTCTCTCACTACCGTAATCTTGTCTCAAATTTATCGAATCTATTCAATTTTTGTCTAATTTTGTGATGGAAAGAATATCGAAAGATAGAAAAAGTGAATAGATTGAATAAAAATAAAGACAAGATTACGATAGAAAGAGAAAGGGGACACGCTTTAGGGAAAGAATTAGAAGCACGGGGTATAATATGGGCACGATATTACGGGAACAAGTTGATAATGTTTGCATTGGGTTGTCCCGTTATGAATGCGCGTTTTCTTACTATTCTGTAAATTTCTCAAGATACCGAAATCAAGAAAAAGATATATATGAGTTTTATTCGAAAGCTGAAGATCTCCTCTACATTTTCATATAAAAAGCTTTTGAATTTGTCGAGCTTTTGGGGCAAATTGACTGCACAGAAGAAGAGGTGGCCAAAAAATGGAAGGGTGCCTTTGGATCAAGTTTTGGCTCCGCTCAAATTGAGCTAACCGTTTGATGTTTGGCCAATAGATATATCAATACAACTTTTTAAAAATATAACAATTTCAGAGCATCTTTACTTTTCTTTTCTTTTCTGGGCGGTTATTTTACAGCATAAAACTTGAGGAATAGCTAAGCTGGAGATGGGTTTTTTCGAAAACGACTGGACAACCCAATGACAACCCAATGCAAACATTATCAACTTGTTCCCGTAATATCTTGCCTTTGTGCAATCAATTTGCCCAAAAGCTGAACAAATTCCAAAGGTTTTTATATCAAAATGTAGAGGAGATGTTCAGCTTTCGAATGATATATAACACTCATATGCATCTGTTCGATATCTTGAGAAATTTACAAAATAGTAAAAACGCGCATTCATAACTGGACAACCCAATGCAAACATTATCAACTTGTTCCCGTAATATCTTGCCCATATTATACCCCGTTCTTCTAATTCGTACTTGAACTTTGTACTTACTTACTCGTTACGATAGAAAGTGGATAGATTGAATGAAAATAAAGTACGATAGAAAGAGAAACTTACAGTACTTACTCCTACTTACTCTTACTTACTTACTTACTTACTTACTTACTGAGTACTCTTGAGAGAGCTCAAATTGTATGTACCGTGATTCCAGGGGCCGTAGCTACAATGATTTTCTCTTCTCACAACATCTGCTCATCGATCACGCTGATTGCTTCAAGTCGAAATTATCGAAAAGCTTCGAAAAAACTCTACAAAACGTACAAAATGATGCTACAGAGAGGTGAATTCATCTAGAGATTTCATTTCTGACTCCAGTTCTAGGGAATTCATCTAGAGATTTCATTTCTGACTCCAGTTCTAGGGAATTCATCTAGAGATTTCATTTCTGACTCCAGTTCTAGGGAATTCATCTAGAGTTTTCCTTTCTGAATCCAGTTCTAGGGAAATCTTCAACAGTGACCGTCACCCCGAGTAAAGGACCCCGAATGGGCACTCAAACAATGAAGGCTTGAAAAAAGTATTGAATTTTGTTCTGACATCTTGTGATTTTGTTGATATGAATGAAGTATGAAGTAATTACTTTAACTGTTTTCAAAGAACAGCTGTATTTATTAGTAAAAATATAACAAAATTTAACTAGGGAATTGCTCGGATTTGGGATATTGGATTGCTCCGATTTATTGAACTTAGCGCAGAAATGCTACCTTAAAATTCAAAGGGAAATTCAGTTTTACTCCAAAGCTTCCAGTTTTCGGGAAAAATCCTTATGAAGTTTGGGAAAAACGACACCGCCTCGATATGAGACCGAATTACTTTCCCGATAACAGTGACCGGATGGTGTAGTGGTTAGCGTGCTCGCCCTTCAGGGCTCGAGTTCGACTCCCCTCACGCTCTTTTTTGCTCGCCTTTTTTTGTGCTTTTTTGTTTTCTATAAACGGTAAGAAGCTAAATAGGGCTCTAGAAAATGGCTGAAAACAACTTTGCCAGACAACGAGTGTTTACAGGGCCGCATATCCGCATATCATTTTTGAATTCTTTCTCTAAAAATCTTCAAATTTATCCATTTTTTGTATATTTATATATGTTGTGTCCGATTTAGATTTCCGTCCGATTTAGATTCAATCTAAATCGGACGTCCGATTTAGATTGAACTTATCGCGGACGTCCGATTTAGATTACAGTCTATATCGGACGTCCGATTTAGATTCAATCTAAATCTTGAATGGATTGAACAATAATATAAACATGCTTAATATATGTTCTTAAGCGTTTTCTGTAGTTTTCTGCATTTTTCAAAGGTCTTTTATTGATTACAGTCTATATCGGACGTCCGATACAGATCGAACAATAATAAACGTGCTTAACATATGTTCTTTGAAAAGCGCAGAAAATTGCAAAAAAAACGCTTAAGAACATATATTAAGCACGTTTATTATTGTTCGATCTGTATCGGACGTCCGATATAGACTGTAATCTAAATCGGACGTCCGCGATAAGTTCAATCTAAATCGGACGTCCGATTTAGATTGAATCTAAATCGGACGGAAATCTAAATCGGACACAACATATATATTGGGTTGGTGGAAAAGTCCTTTGGAGCTTTGGATTTTTGGGGGAGTGCCCCTAAATAAGTTTCCAATTTTGACGTTTTTTAGCTCATCCTAAAGCTGAATTCAATACGGATCGATTAGGGAAAAACGGTTTTGAGAGTATACATTTTTCCAGGTTTTAAGGCTATTTTAGTAAGGGGGGAAAGGGCAAAAATGGCCGTGTGGCCGTTTCGGGGTTTTCGTGCTTTTTCCTGGCTAAAAACGCGTTAAACGTGGTTGCGCCAAAGTGACCCTAGGTAAAACAAATTTTCAGAATCTTAAGCAAAAATTTTTGACAAACATTGTCACCGGTGGAAGTCGAACCAGCGACCCTCAGATCAATAGCCTTTCTCGATTTTCCTTCGTTTTTCTCGTTTTTTCCTGAAATTCCTGAAAAAAGCCTTCTAACAACATCAAAAAAATGATAAAACAAAAAAAAGTGGAAAAACGAAGGAAAATCGCGAAAAGCGGTGGAAAGGCTATTGATCTGAGGGTCGCTGGTTCGACTTCCACCGGTGACAATGTTTGTCAAAAATTTTTTGCTAAGATTCTGAAAATTTGTGTCTAGGGGTTATTTTGGACGCTGATCACGAATAACATGTTTTTAGCCAAGGTTTCTGCACGAAAAACTACCGAAACGTGAAAACAGCCATTTTTTGGCTCTGTCGGCTCTGTCGGGTTAACGTTAAGTTTAACGGGTTAACGTTAAGGCTAACGAGTTAACGTTAACGTTAACGGGTTGACGTAACGGGTTAACGTTAAGGTTAACGGGTTAACGTTAAGGTTAACGGGTTAATGTTAACACTAACGGGTTAACGTTAACGCTAACGGGGAAACGGATTTGACCAGCTACGATAGTTGCAAAATAGACACGTTTTAGAAAACTGAAGACTACGATAGCTTAGGCTTAGGTTACGGTGGTTGTCTACTTACACGCTTGCGTAAAAGCGATCGCTCGACTAGCCGTTAACGAATGATTCATTAACGGCTAGCCGTTTACATATGATTCGTTAGCGTCTATCGAAAAATTTCATTCGTAAGCGACTAGCCGTTTACGAAATGATTCGTTAGTTGAATTTCGTAAACGGCTACGACATTTATTTTCATAAAAAGATATTCACAAATGGGGGAAAAGAATAATCACAAAAGGGCAAAATAACAAGAAATGAAAGAGTTCTTTTCCAAATCTTTTCAATAGATCAAAAGTCGAGGATAAAAGAATACACGTATTTTTGGAGATACAAGAATCTATGTAAATATAAAAAAAAATGATATTTGAATGGGATATGGTCATTTTTTTTTGATTTGAAAAGGATATTTAGGTGCTCATTTTCGGCAATAGACTCATCCGCACGTGTTCCTTCGTATCGTCCCCCTGGAAATGGAAAGGGAAATCATTTCATTGACAGTCATCTAGAATTCATCTAGAATCGATTTATGGCTTAGTCTTCGCCTTAAGCCATTGTAAAGTTGATAATAATCGACTTGTCGACTTCCTAAACACTTGTGACTCACCTACCGTAACCCGATTAGCCAATAGGCAATGTTTATCATCTCGATCTTGTTGCTAGACGATCCCCTACTTTTTATGTTTACTTTAGCAACTGCATAGCAACGGCTAACCCGGACTACGGTAGTCTGAGCTTAGAACTCCCACCCAAGAGCCAGCTGTCCTGTCGCAGAGATTGATCTCCATAGTTTGAGCTTAGAACTCCCACCCAAACCCTCACCACTAATTCCCAACTCATTTGACAAAAGTTTGCAAGTAATAATGACTTCCTCTACACGTCTACAGTATTAAATAGTGGTATTGTTGTGATCAGCGACTGAGTTTCCCCAACGACTGAGTTTCCCCAACGACTGAGTTTCCCCAACGACTGAGTTTCCCCAACGACTGAGTTTCCCCAACGACTGAGTTTCCCCAACGACTGAGTTTCCCCAACGACTGAGTTTCCCCAACGACTGAGTTTCCCCAACGACTGAGTTTCCCCAACGACTGAGTTTCCCCAACGACTGAGTTTCCCCCAACGACTGAGTTTCCCCAACGACTGAGTTTCCCCAACGACTGAGTTTCCCCAACGACTGAGTTTCCCCAACGACTGAGTTTCCCCAACGACTGAGTTTCCCCAACGACTGAGTTTCCCCAACGACTGAGTTTCCCCAACGACTGAGTTTCCCCAACGACTGAGTTCCCCGAGTGCCACCACACCCAAACCCCCACCACCAATTCCCGACTCACAAACACTCCCGTAACAAAATCTGAATCTCGTTAAGTCAAAACTAACCAATAATAAGATAAAGAACACCTCGCCAGTCAGAAATTTGGGCTTTCTGGATCGTAGAACCCATTGTAGAGTTCATTCTAACCCTTTGTCCAAAGAAAAGTCCCAAGAGACTTCGAGTTTTGTATCTGATAGCTTTCACAATGAAAAGACTCCCTTTTTTTCATGTTCTAATTGAGTTTGAGATTAAAGTTTCTTAAATTTTGTTTACAGTATCTGTGCTACTGTGAATATCTCATTTCCTTTGCCACTCACCTTGAGACTTTCCGCCAGACTGCGTGTTCGACTTCTTGGGGTTGCAAGGGCCAGCTGTCCTGTCGCAGAGATTGATCCTCTCTCCGTGCATGGGGATATCCCTTCAGAAGGACACGACGACACCTGTAAAGTAAAGAATACGTAATTTAATGTTGTTTTTAATAATCATTTGGCTTACAAGGGGAATGGTCTTAGCTTAAAGTTTGGAATCGATTGGTTGATCGATTGGAATCGATTGGTTGATCGATTGGGATCGATTGGTTGATCGATTGGAAACACAGTGCTAAACATAGAATGAGTAATGGGAAATAAAACGTCACAAAAAATTAGCCGCTAATAGCCACGGAAATGCGAGAAAAAAATTGGGATTGAAAACTTCGGGATTCCTTTATAAGGTTTCTCTCGCTACCAGCTCGAGATGAGGTCGTGGCCTAGTGGATAAAGGCTTAGAAACAGTAGCCCAATGGTCTTGGGTTCAATTCCTCCCAGCGGTTCTTTTATTCTTTTTTGCGATTTTTGAAAACATTTTTTGATACGTTAGTTTAAGCTTGCTTTTCAAAAGATCTTGCTTTCCAAAGCCATCCAATATTCCAAAATAATATGTAACACGAAATTGCAACAAAAGAAAGGTTTCTTAGAGTATGCTTGATGTTATAAGCTTTATTTTAAGGCTTAAGGATTTTAAGGCTTTTAAGACCTAAGCAGCTTTGGTCATTTCCTTTCCATCTTTCTTCAGTTATTTCAATTTGATACAATAAAATTAGTGTAAATAATGATGATTTTAAATATCTGTTCTGACTTTTTTTCCAATCGCAAAACCAAAATAATTTGCATTTGAGCGGAATTGAACCAAAGGGTAAAAATGAATTGAAATGGAGAGCCATTTCAATGACTAGACCTCTATCCACTAAGCCACAAGCTCATCTCTACCCGTTAACGAGAGAAGTCTTATAAAGGATCTTTCATATCTTTCAATCCCGATTTTCCATTCCAGATTCCTCTATAGCTATTAGCGATTAATTTTTGTGGCCTTTTATTCACCATTGACGACCCTATGCTATGCACTTTTGTTTCCAATCGATCAACCAATCGATCAACCAATCGATCAACCAATCGATCAACCAATCGATCAACCAATCGATCAACCAATCGATCAACCAATCGATCAACCAATCGATCAACCAATCGATTCCAAACTTTAAGCTGAGACTATTCGCTGTAAATGATCAATCGCTGAGACTATTAGCTGTAAATGATCAATCATATGAGTTATAGCTTGATTTAGTTAATGTCAGAATGTTAAATGATCGAAATTGTTGTTAGTAAAACCAAAAGTGTTGTTGAGATTTGATAAAACTTACAATATTACAATATTAAATATTGATTACTTTACAAAAGTAATCAATATTTGTATTGAATATTGAATTGAATATTGAATCAATATTGAACATCAAATGAACAACACTTTAAAAGCAAGCAATCAAAATCTCTGTGTGAGTCTGAAAAATCCAAAAAAAATCATCCCGAAATGTTGCTAATCATGCAAAAATGAGGAAAAAGTGTTAGAAATCGAAATAAAAATTTCCGGTACTCTTTTGACGTCCAAGCGCCGGGGATCGGCGAGTCTCATTTTGAATCTGCAAAATGTGGGGTCGAGTTTAGTGCTGTGTGGAAAGGAAATGCACTTACTTTTGCATGTAAATTGTTACTGCTAGTTGACTTAAGCAAAGCGCTAGCTTGGCTATTAGTTAAGTGATAAATCTAGGTTAATTTCTAATCAAATAGTAAGCTGTATCAAACCGATGTATCAAATCGTAAGCTGTATCATTAATAGTAAGCTGTATCAAATTGTGAGCTGTATCAAATCGTAAGCTGTATCAAATCGTAAACTGTATCAAATCGTTAGCTGTATCAAATCGTAAGCTGCATCAAATCGTTAGCTGTATCAAATGGTAAGCTGTATCAAATCGTAAGCTGTATCAAATCGTAAGCTGTATCAAATCGTAAGCTGTATCAAATCGTAAGCTGTATCAAATCGTTAGCTGTATCAAATTGTGAGCTGTATTAAATCGTTAGCTGTATCAAATCGATGTATCAAATCACTAATAGTAAGCTGTATCAAATCGTTAGCTGTATCAAATCGTAAGCTATATCAAATCGTAAACCGCATCAAATCACTAATAGTAAGCTGTATCAAAGCTTCGTTAGCTTGGCTATTAATGATACAGCAGTAACGGTTCATTTGTCACGAGGAAACTGAAATTCAGTGCGCCAGAAAGCTGTGTTTGCAATTTTTGAGCGCTTAAAGTACACTGTTAAGTGATAAATCTAGGTTAATATCTAATCAAAAATAATCAAATAGCAAGCTGAACGATTTGAGTACCAATTCTTTATTGCTCAAACTTGTAAAAGAACTCTTTCTAGTGCACTGAATTCTTTATTTTCTTCAAAGTAACGGTTCATTTGTCACGAGAAAACTGAAATCCAGTGCGCCAGAAAGCTGTGTTTGGAATTTTTGAGCGCTTAAAGTACACTGTTTAAAATTTTGATACCTTTTTCCCATTGAACCTTTTTTTTAAAGTGAATGATAGATGTAGAAGGTTTTTCTTTTAAAATAGAAAGCATTCACTTGAGAAGAAGCGGTTCAATGTGCGAGTGAATTGTCGTCTGAGGATTGTTTGATTGAAGGAATCCCCCTTGTGAAGTGGATACCCCGTGGAAGGGACGACGGAGAGAGGACATTCGAAGGTCACGGAATTGACGAGTGAAGAGGAAATATAACTGAAATCGATTTTTCAAATCGTTTATTTATGTTTAGAGTGTTTAGAGTCACCATCGGATTGCAAGCCGAGTTGAAGTTGAAGAGGAAATTGACGACATCTTTAACGACGATACTCCAATCACTTTCCGCGTCCACCAAATTCATCCATCGAAAGATTAGACCACCTAGGGAATAAAGATTGCGTTGTTGTCAATAGAAATAGAAATAGAAATACAAATCTAATGGTTTATTGGCTGAATGAGGAACGATTCTCAAAAATTTCTCAAAAAAAAAACCAATTATCGCGATCGTATAGAATTTCTTGATGAAATTTCTTCTAGAAATGACTAAAGTGAATGAATCAATCAATCAATTCATCATTAAAGATCATATCGGCTTTATAAAGTTCATTTAAATCTTGAGTATTTTTCGGTAGTTTTTGTTGAACAGGTTGTAGAAAATATAGCCAAATTTCGATTCGTATTCGAACCGTATTGGAACCGTATTAGATCAAATAGGGAACCGTATTGTAACCATATTGGAACCGTATTCGGACCTTAAAAGGAACCGTATTGGAACCGTATAGGGACCGTATTAGAACCGTATTGGAACCGTATTGGAGCCGTATTGGAACCGTATTCGGACCTTAAAAGGAACCGTATTGGAACCGTATAGGGACCGTATTGGAACCGTACTGGAACCGTATTGGAACCGTATTGGAACCGCATTCGGACCTTAAAAGGAACCGTATTGGAACTTTATTGGAACCGTATTGGAACCGCATTCGGACCTTAAAAGGAACCGTATTGGAACCTTATTGAAACCGTATTGGAACCGCATTCGGACCTTAAAAGGAACCGTATTGGAACCGTATTGGAACCGCATTCGGACCTTAAAAGGAACCGTATTGGAACCGCATTCGGGCCTTAAAAGGAACCGTATTGGAACCGTATAGGGACCGTATTGGAACCGTATTGGAACCGTATTGGAGCCGTATTGAAACCTTATTGGAACCGTATTGGAGCCAAAAGAAGCAAAAATGTAATTCGTGTCCGATATCGGTATAATCTTGGCTGTTCATCCGATTGGAAACAAAGCGCAAATCGATTAATCCATCAGCAAAAGGCGGCCCAACAAATCAGCTTTCGTCAAAGTTTCTTGTGTCAAAGTAGATCGGATTCTTTCGCAAGTCTCTTCAAATAATGTACAACCAAATTTATACCGAAAATTGTTTTTTTTGTTTTTTTCGCAAAAACTCACGAAGATTTTTAAAAATGAAACTAAAGTTGAATTACCTGTATGGCAACAGAAGAAGAAAAGCACGATAGAGATGATTAAAGTGACAGCGCGGCGCTCTTGCGCGAGACGGCTCTGCAAGATTCGCTTTTGAATCGGAATAAAGAAGCTGGCTACAGTACTGAAATTTGTCCACCGTACTCTAGAGTCAGTGAGTCAGTCAGTGAGTCAGTGAGTCAGTGTCACTCTAGAGTCAGTGAGTCAGTGAGTCAGTGTAGGCAGGGCTGGCTACAGTAAGAAAGCAGTACTACTCTAGTTTTACGATTTTAGATGACACAAAAGCTTTAAGTGAACTGAAGTCGTCATATCGTACTCCTCAACTCCTATTTAACAATTTAACTTTAGAAACTATTCTATTGTGAATAAGATATTCAGTTGAGCCTTTCTGCACTCAGCTTAAAATTGATCTAATCTACTCTAGAGTCAGTGAGTATTGTAGGCAGGGCTCTGCACTCACCTTGTGATCCGATGGAACGGGTCTCCTCGAGATTGTGGTCAAAATTCGAAAGTTGAGAATCGTTAGCAACAATAGGGGAATGATATAGACAAGTACGGGATACAAAACCTTGTCAATCTGAAAGAAAGTTTGCATAATTTCATTTCCATCAACTACTTACCACTTCTCGATACAAAGCATTTTTCGCTAAAGCCGATGGTTGATGAACGAGAACGATTGGAAGGGCTGATTCACGCCAAGATGGCTCCGAGATGTCCTCTTTGCGGACGAATTGCCTGAATATTTCTTAAATCGGTTGGAAAACCGCCTAACAGCGTCCCAGGTTTCTCGTCGCCATAGTGCAGTACTGGAGCGCGCTTGTCTACGGCCTACACGATCCGAGTTCGACTCCCGGCCGCGTCGAGACTTTTTAAAATACAGATGGAGGGATAAACGGATAGACAGACGAACGGACAGATGGGTGGACAGACGGATGAACAGACGGATGGACAGACGGACGGACAGATGGGTAGACAGACGGATGGACAGACGGTGGACAGACGGATGGACAGACGGACGGACAGATGGGTAGACAGACGGATGGACAGACGGTGGACAGACGGATGGACAGACGGACGGACAGATGGGTAGACAGACGGATGGACAGACGGTGGACAGACGGATGGACAGACGGATGGACAGATGAACGGACAGATGAACGGACAGACGAACGGACAGATGGGTGGACAGACGAACGGACAGATGGGTGGACAGACGGACGGACAGACGGACGGACAGACGGACGGACAGATGGGTGGACAGACGAACGGACAGACGGATGCACAAACGGACGGACAGACGGACGGACAGATGGGTGGACAGACGGACGGACAGACGGACGGACAGACGGACGGACAGATGGGTGGACAGTTGGACATACACCTCCCTTTTATTTATGAATCAGAATTTGATTAGTAAATGAACTGACCAGCTATATTCAAACCATTTGGATGCATTGAATGTTAGAGCAACAATGACAATGCAAATGAGTGGAAGGAATGGACGCGATGGGGCAGCGGTATGACCGAGCGGGTTGTGGATTGCCTGCAAATGGAAATATTCGGTTTATTCAATCCATTTCACGTACTTTTTCTATCGAATCCTCAAAATCTTAGCAAGTTAGCGCTTGGGATTAAGGTAGATCTAGGGAAGCCACTTTATTACTGACTAGTTTCGTAGAATCTTTCCTTCTAAGAGTTCCTGTAGACCGGGATTACGGTGGCTCGTTAGCTCGTTTATCCATTGATTTATCCAAGTTTAAAATGAGATCATCAGAACAAATAAGTACTTCTGATGTACTTTAAGCTCAAAAATTCGTGAACACATTCTTTCTAGGGCACTGAAGAATTCGGTGCACGAGAAATAGAATGTTTCCAAAGTTTTGAGTCTAAAGTACACCTTATTTATTCACTTTTTGCTCCTTTTTTTTTGTTATATCATTTTTAAGGTAAACAATATGTTTTTTATAGACATTTTACTAGATATTTTTACCCTTGAGTAAGTTTTTACTCTTTTTACCCGTTTTTTTACCCTTTTTATCCTTATTTTTCAACAATAATAAACTCAAAACATTGCCGCCCTTTACTAAAATAGCTGTAAAAACGTTTTAGAAAAGAGATATCTCAAAACGCTTTTTATCAATCGATCCGTCTTGAATTCAGCTTTAGGATGAGCTATAAAAACGTTAAAATTCGACAAATTTAAGTTACTCTCACAAACAAATCGGAAAGGACTTTTCCATCAACCAAATAATTTAAAAAGGAAACAATTCTATTGGGTTGTTCGGATATAAACGAGCGTTTTTAGTAGTCGACAAAATTGAGAAACCACGAAGCGTTGTGTTTAGACCTTTATTTCTTATCTAATAGGTTGATGCATAAGTGTTTTCGTTCCTTTTCGTCTGCCGTTTCAAGCCAACAAATACACGAATTAAACTACGGTTGATTTCATTAGAAAAAGCAATTATTTTTCTGCAAAATAACATTAAAACGGGTTTAAAAATATTGAATGCCTGGATTTTCTTGAGAGTATGAAGTCGGGTAGTCAAAAAGGGCTAACTCGATGATGCGGTTTAGGCTCAGGCTCAGGCTCAGGCTCAGGCTCAGGCTCAGGCTCAGGCTCAGGCTAAGCCTCAGCCTAAGCCTGAGCCTGAGCCTGAGCGGTTTAGACACCTTAGCTAAAGAAAACCTATCTTCGTGTCAATAGATAAAAGATAGAGAAAAAAAACGTTTGATATTTGGCCAAAATTTCAGAGAAATTCATTGAGCCAATTTTTCCGTAGAGTTTTTTATAGATTTTTACGAAAAAGGCGTTTTTCACTCTCGAATTTGCTTCAAAGTGAACCGAAATTCATTTAAAAAGATGCTAATTGAACAAAAAAAACACTTTTTTTATAGAGCAAACTATAGATTAATTCGTGAATTTGTTACTTTTTAACAGAAGTACGAAAAAACGAAAAGACTTATGCATCAACCTATTAGTTAATCTAGTTATCCTGGTTAATCTAGTTATCCTAGTTAATCTAGTTATTCTAGTTAATACAGTACTACAATGTAGTGTTAAACGTTATAAAAGTCTTTATTAAACGTTTGATTTGTTGAAAAGAGATTGTATGCATTTTGCAAACAATTCCTAACTAAACCCTTTCATTTCTAAAGACTTCTTTCTAGACTTCTTTCTTCTTTCTTCTTCCTTTATCCAAATTTCATTTTCTTTTTTATAAAGATTAAGTCTTAAAGTCTTAAAGCAAGTCTTAAAATCTTAAAGCAAGTCTTAAAGCAAGTGTTAAGCAAAATATAGTACTACAATGTAGTGCTAAACGTTGACAAAAGTCTTCATTAAACGTCAAGAGCCAAGAGACGACTTTTCTTACTCAATTTTGAAGAGAAAACGATTGAGTTGTCTTCATTAACAAAGAAAAGACGATTGGAAGCAGATGAACAAAGAAAAGACGTCAGTTGGAAGCAGATGAACAAAGAAAAGACGTCAGTTGGAAGTAGATGAACAAAGAAAAGACGATTGGAAGCAGATGAACAAAGAAAAGACGTCAGTTGGAAGCAGATGAACAAAGAAAAGACCGAAATTCATTTAAAAAGATGCAAATTGAACAAAAAAACACTTTTTTTATAGAGAAAACTATAGATTAATTCGTGAATTTGTTACTTTTTAACAGAAGTACGAAAAAAAAAACGAAAAGACTTATGCATCAACCTATTATATAATCTTTAATATCAGTTGTTCAAAGTTGATAAAATTGAATTGAAATCAATCCCAAATGGTTTCCTGAGACATTCCACGAGAGGTTTCAATTGTTGAAAAACTATTTGATTGTGAGGACACAAATCGACTTGTTAGACATTTTTTACCCTTGAGATTCGTATTTTTTGGAACAAGAATAAACTCAAAATAGAAACATTTCTGGTAAAGAAAAATTCAAAGATTAAAACTTGCAAGATAAAAAAAAATACGGAAATTGAATTTTCTGAAAAACTCTAACTGAGGAAAATGTTTGAAATCGTTTAAAAATATCGTTTACCCGATGCCTTTGCATAGTGATATATGTCATTGTCCATATCGATGCCATATTCGCCGCCAATAATAACGGAGCAAAGAGGCCAGTTGAGAGGTAAGCGATTTGACCGAGCACGCCCAACATTGGAGACTGAAATATGGAGGGATTCCGATTGAATTTTCGCTACTCTACTCTACTCTATCTATCCCTACAAATTTGGCCTTTAATCTCATCATAAATCATTTAGAAGTAGAAATTAGGAAACTATTGGGTTGGTGCATTGAAAACTGCGGGACTTTGAACTAAAATTTATTCAACATAAAACCAATAAATTCATTCCAAATAATTTCCATTATTATTAACGACTTCTGCCCATTTTACAGACAATTTGTGGATTCCTTTTTCGTGATAGGATTTTAGTTTGTGTGTGAGACAAGTGTGAGACTCAAAAATCGAGGACTGGAGATGTCCGATGTCCCAGTTTGAGCACTTCCTTCAAAAGAAACCCATTTTGGTGTCAATGGAAAAGTTGTAGAGAATCAAAAATTAGGCTTATAGCCAAATTTCCAAACAGATACGCTTAGTAGTTTCGCTTAGTAAATAGTAAATAGTTTCGCTTAAAATTTGTGTGTTCTATGTGTTCTATGTGCGACCGCGTAATCGCTCGTCCTCTGGCGCAGGGCTTTTACATAATCCCCTTCCCTCTGCCTTTCCTAAACTAATCTGCCGGGCTCCGAATCATCGAATTTAACAAATAATTTCCATTATTATTAACGACTTCTGCCCATTTTACAGACAATTTGTGGATTCCTTTTTCGTGATAGGATTTTAGTTTTGAATCGAAAAACTTTCAAAGCCAATTTTTGACTGCTTCTTCCGAATCGAAGTATTCTCCCGTAAGCTCATTACTCATGGTCCAAAATAAATAGTAATCAGAAGGGGCAAGGTCCGGACTGTATGGGGGATGTGCCAAAAGTTTCCAACCAAGGTTTGTGTGTGAGACAAGTGTGAGACTCAAAAATCGAGGACTGGAGATGTCCGATTTCCCAGTTTGAGCACTTTCTTCAAAAGAAACCCATTTTGGTGTCAATGGAAAAGTTGTAGAGAATCAAAAATTAGGCTTTTAGCCAAATTTCCAAAAAGATACACTTGGTAGTCTCGCTTAAAATGCAAGTTTTGTGAAAATTCGTAAATTTTAGCATTTCTTGAAAACCGGTTTTTGAATCGTTCTGAAAATTTGGATATAAGCTTGATTTTTGATTCTCCACAACTTTTCCATTGACACCAAAATGGGTTTCTTTTGAAGAAAGTGCTCAAACTGCCACATATGACAATAGCCAGAAGTTTTCAATTCACCGACCCGATAGATTGAGATTAGCCTTGATTTGCGGAGAAGTCAATGTCCAATTTGAAGATTGGGAGCCGGCTAGATTAGTTTCGCAAGGGGAGAGGGAAGGGGGTTATGTAAAAGCCCTGCGCCAGACGAGGAGCGATTACGCGACCGCGCAAAGAACACACAGAATACACCAATTTTAAGCGAAACTACTAAGTGTATCTTTTTGGAAATTTGGGTATAAGCTTGATTTTTGATTCTCTACAACTTTTCTATTGACACCAAAATGGGTTTCTTTTGAAGAAAGTGCTCAAACTGTCACATATGACAATAGCCAGGAGTTTTCAATTCACCAATCCAATATTAGGTTGTTCGGATATAAACCTAAGCGTTACTAAACTTATTGTTGTGAGAAAAGCTTTTAAAAATGTCTTTCTGTATTTAAAAGTACGTTATCTTGTGTATATTTGGAATCTTTTTAAACGGATAATTTCTCGGATAAAGATCTTTTTTTCTTGCTTTAGTTGACCGAGTTGAAATATCAAGTATCAACATCAAACATCAAGTACGCCTCTGTCTACTTTACGACTTCAAACTGGGCAAAAACAGTCGCGGAATCCCATCGAGATTTGGTCAAAGCATTTGGGAATGATGTATTGTTTGAAAGCCGATGCCGAGCCTGGTTCCAACGGTTCCAACGCTGGTTCCAACGCTAGTTCCAACGCTAGTTCCAACGCTGGTTCCAACGCTAGTTCCAACGCTGGTTCCAAAGCTGGTTCCAACGCTGGTTCCAACGCTGGTTCCAACGCTGGTTTCAACGCTGGTTCCAACGCTGGTTCCAAAGCTGGTTCCAACGCTGGTTCCAACGCTGGTTTCAACGCTGGTTCCAACGCTGGTTCCAACGGTTCCAACGCTTTTGGAACGGTGATGAAAGTCTCGAGAATCATGAACACTCTCGTCGACCTCTCGTCGACCGTAGACAACGATATTTTGAAGGCTGTAATCGAATCGGATCCATCTCAGACGACGCGTAAACTCGCTCAACAGTTTCTATGTTCAAATTCTACCATTGATGAGCATCACCACGCAATTGGAAAGGCGATCAGATGCGGGAAATGACTTTCTCACGAGTCAATCAGTGTAAACGCTTGTTTATATCCGAACAACCTAATAAATGAGTATCAAATGTTTAAATAAAGCCTATAAAGCTATCTGATTATGGAGAGATGGATGTATGGACAGAAATTGCTCTTTTATATATAGAAAATTATTTTTTTGAGTAGATCTTTCAAATAGATATATATCTTTAAGATAAAAAAAAACCTCAGAATAATCGTGAACTGCTGGAATGAAGAGCACAAAAAGTGATAGGGTTAATTGCGAGAGATCACATAGAGAAAGAGTGATCAGGGTGGGCACCTGGAATGAGGAAATTCTTCAGAATATAGCTATTGTTAGATAGATTTGGAGCTCATGTTTTAACTTATTTTCTTATTCGATAATAAAATCACCGTATCACTCACCAAAGGATGATGGGTGGCTGTTCGAAAAACGGCTAAACAAAGAGAGTTGAGGAGAATGCCCATGAGACAAAGAGTCGGTAGGAGATAGATATCGATGAGACAACCGACGAGACGCCATTCCGAATGACCGTGACACATTGGGTAAAGTCGATTGCTTTTTAAAGTCGATTTCTTTTCAAATAAAACGAGAAAAGAATACGATAGCGAAGTGAAATCTCGATGCAGAGAAGACTTTTTTTTGCTTAAAAAAAATATATTTACTAAGCAAGCATACAGTAATTTTAAATGCAAAATAGATAAGAAATTTACACGCGATTACGGTAGAGCTGTAGCTTAGTTATCAAATAGAAAGTACGGAAGAGCGAAAGGAAAGGAAGGAAAGCGATAGGAAAGCGATAGGAAAGGAAAGGCTTGGAGAAGAAGAGGAAAAGAGTGTGGTAGTTTGAATGTAAATATAGTAAAGGCTTTAAAAAACACGACAAACGGTAGATCAAAAGATGGAAAAAAAATGGAAACAAGACAATACCGTAGTCCCGACAAAATTTACGGTAATTAGAGATCGATTCAATTTTGAAAGATATTCATAAAAAGGAAATCCATTTGTAAAGAAGAATTTGGGTTCTATTTTGTGATAAAATATTCAATTAAAATATTTAAAAAGATGGAAAAAAAAACGGCAAATAAATGGATGGATGGGAAAATTTGGGCCAAAAATATCAAAAAGGAAATGAAATTTCGATGGGCGAAATGGGGAAAGATTACTGTATTTTGAGGAAGAATCGATTCCTTTCCAATTCCAAAACCACATCTATCTATCGGACGCGTGTGCCAGATCAAAAAATTTCGCGCAAAGTAGCCACCCCCGTTTTCATTGGTAAAAAGCCTAACGGCTGGTTTTTCACACTGTTTTTGGGACAGGATCAGGGGTCAGGCGAGCGATTACCCGGCCGCACAAAGAAGAAGAAGACGCTAGTTTTTTTTTTTGAACAGGTTGTAGAAAATACAGCCAAATTTAAGCCAAAAGAAGCAAAAATGTAATTCGTGTCCGATATCGGTATAATCTTGGCTGTTTATGCGATTTGAAACAAAGCGCAAATCGACTAAACGATCAGCATAAAAAGCTGCCCAGCAAATGGCATTTCCTCTTCCGAAATTTCTTGCCAAAAAAGATTGGATTTTTCCTTAAATCTCGCCAATAGTGAGTATAGGTCGACCGAGATTTCTATCCCGAGATTCCCCATCGAGACGTAGTTTTGACTGTTCATGCGATTGGAAACATGCGATTCGACTCATCCATCAGCACAAAAAACTGCCCAACACATCAGCTTTCGTCAAAGTTTCTTGTGTCAAAGTAGATCGGATTCTTTTCTTTATTTTGGCTTGTTTTTGTTGAACAAGTTGTAGAAAATACAGCCAAATTTAAGCAAAGCCAAAAGAAGCGAATACAAAAGAAGCAAAAAATCCAACTCGTGTCCAAGCTATCGATATAATCTTGGTTGTCCATGAGATTCGAAACAAAGCGTAAATCGACGTAAACGACCAGCATAAAAAGCTGCTCAGTACATGAAATCTCCTCTTCCGAAATTTCTTTTGTCAAAAAAGATTGGATCTTCCCTTAAATCTCGCCAATAGTATTGGAACCGTATCGGAACCGTTTTGAATCAAAAAAAGAACCGTATTAGAACCGTACTGGATCAAAAAAAACCGTATTAGAACAGTATCCGAACCGTTTTGGATCAAAAAAAGGAACCGTATTGGATCAAAAAAAGAACCGTATTGGAACCGTATTGGAACCGTATCAGAACCGTATTGGATCAAAAAAAAGGAACCGTATTGGAACAGTATCCGAACCGTATTGGATCAAAAAAAGAACCGTATTGGAATGAGTGTAGGTCCACCGAGATTTCTATCCCGAGATGCCCATCGAGACGTAGTTTTGACTGTTCATGCGATTGGAAACAAAGCGCAAATCGACTAATCCATCAGTAAAAAGGTGCCCAACACCCCAGCTTTCGCCAAAGTTTCTTGTGCCGAAGTAGACCGGAGCCTTTCGCAAGTCCCTCCAAAGAATGTACAACCAAATCTATCCCGAAAATATTTTTTACCGTCCAAAACGACACCTATCTATCAGGCTCGTGTGCCAGACGGCGAGCGATTACTCGGCCACACAAAGAACACTTCGCTGCCCAACACATCAGCTTTCGTCAAAGTTTCTTGTGTCAAAGTAGATCGGATTCTTTTCTTTATTTTGGCTTGTTTTTGTTGAACAAGTTGTAGAAAATACAATCCAAATTTAAGCCAAAAGAAGCAAAAATACAACTCGTGGCCAAGCTAGGCACAAAAAAGCTGCCCAACACATCAGCTTTCGTCAAAGTTTCTTGTGCCAAGTTGAAAAACGGAAAGTTTTTTTCCGTTTTTTGACGCTAGATCTAACTTTTTATTTTATGCATCAAAAACGCCAAATAAAAAAAAAAAAACAGAATTTATCTACTCGAAATATTCACCGTCAACATCAATAACATTCTGCCACTTATCCGGCAACATATAGCTTTCGTCAAAGTTCCTTGTGTCAAAGTAGATCGGATTCTCTCTCTTTAATTTTTACATCAAATCAAGATATTTATTTATAACATACAAAAAGACGAAGATCCCAAAAAAAGCCGGCAAAAAAAAAAACGATACGTGAGCGGTGATTTCCGGTTTAAATTCTAGATTTTCTCATGGATAGAGATTAGAACATTACTCAAAAAGATTTTCACCCAAAAAACAAAATTAAACGCCGGAAATTTGTAAATGCCAAATGCCAAATGCCAATTTGTACGGGCTTGCCAAATGGCAAGCGATTACTGGGCCATACAAAGAACACCTCGCCAGTCATTCATTTAGGGATTTTCTCTTGCTTTGTAGATGAGATAAAAAGATATTCAGGTGTAAATTTGTACCAGAAAGTTATCTAATTGATTAGAGCTAATCATTTTAATGAGTTTACCAATCAAAGTCCATCAATTTAAGTGGTCTAACTTTTCGAGAAACTCGAAAACGTCTAGCCTATCTTCAAGAGAAGGTTCACAGCTTTTCAATCTGTAATCTACTGTAATCCGATCTAATCTACAGTAAAATTGATCTAATCTACAGTAAACTATTGAAATTTCAGTAAATAGATCAATCATCGTAGTCTAGACGCAAAAATTCGCAAAATTCGCAAAAACTCACGAAGATTTTGGGGGAATTTCGTGCGAATCACTAAAATCTCATAAAGAGAAATTTTCGTTCGGAGAAATCTCAAAAAAAAATGCTCAAAATGCTCAAATTGCTCAACGAAATTTCTTAGAGAACTTTTTCATAAACTAATAACCCACTTGAAGGATATCATCATCAAATATTGAAAAAAGGAAGAGGGAATTTGATGAAAAAGGGGAGATATCGACTCATCCCATCAGCACAAAAAACTGCCCAGCACATCACAGCTTTCGTCAAAGTTTCTCGTGCCGAAGTAGACCGGAGCCTTTCGCAAGTCCCTCCAAAGAATGTACAACCAAATCTCAATCGAAAATTTTTTTTTTGAAGGGTCTAAAACGACACCTATCTATCAGGCTCCTGTGCCAGACGGTGAGCGATTACTCGGCCACACAAAGAACACTTGGCCAATAATCCACTTGAAGGATATCATCATCAAATATTGAAAAAAGGAATAGGGAATTTGATGAAAAAGATGAAAAAGATGGCTTAAAATATCCAAAAAAAATAGCTCAATTTCGAGATTTATTGAAAGAAGAGTTTTAAAAGATTTGAGCTAACGAAAAGTCAGAAACATTGAAAAGATGGCAATCAAATGATTGAATGAATTGATTAAATAGTTAGAATGTGCAAATCTAGTTAGAATGTGCAAAAGCCGGTTTACTATTGGTTAGAAGAGCCAGTTCGCTTCTAGACTTTGAAACATTGAGAAAAAATTAGATTTCTAAGTCAAACTAATGTAGGTTTGACTTGAAAATCTCAGATAAATGAGTCAAAGTCCGGACAAATGAGTAATCCGGATCAGGGTTATCCAGCCGGTTTTTAGATTAAGATTTTAAGCCAGGCTGTCAGATCTAGCTCTAGAGGAATCTAGAACTTTAGAAGGACTCTAGAAACGATTTGAGGGCATTTCAAATCCTGGGACAGATCACACTTTTGTTCATTTGCTTGAGGAATTTGAAACTGAACTAGTTTTTAGTCTACAGTCTACAAGGTAGTGCATTTAAACCTAATTCTGGTCTTGTTTTTTTTTTCTGAAAAACCTTTGAAACAACTTTAACCAGTTTTTAAGTGTAAACAAAGTCTAAACTGATGTGTCAATCTAATAACCATTGCCCCATCGGTACCCTCTCACACACTGCACAATCTACTATTGGGTTGATGGAAAAGTCAGTGTTCCAAAGCCAAAGCTCTTTGAGCCAAAGAAAAGGCAATACAAAGTCCCTTTGTATCACACAAAACGATCTTTAGAGGAAGGACAAGAGAATCAGAGATATTCAAAATCAAATCAAAACATTAAATAAGATTTCACAGAAAAGAGCTATTTTTCTGCAAAATTTCCTAAAATTTCTATTTAAAAGATGAAAGTTTTCGATTTTTGTGTTCTTTGCCGATAGATAGATAAACAAGAGATAGATAGACAAAAAAAAACAGACATCTTAGTTCCTTTATATAGTAGATTGTGCAGTGTGTGAGAGGGTACCGATGGGGCAATGATTATTGGATTGATTGATTGTTGATTGATTGTTGATTGATTGTTGATTGATTGTTGTTTTGAATATTGATTCCGAATATAACACAATTACTAATCTAGCGAGAAAATAAAATAAAATAGAATCAATCGTTGGTTCAGTGTTCCAAAGCCAAAGCTCTTTGAGCCAAAGAAAAGCAATACAAAGTGACCTCCGTCCCTTTGTATCACACAAAACGATCTTTAGAGGAAGAACAAGAGAATCAGAGATATTCAAAATCAAAACATTAAATAAGATTTCACAGAAAAGAGCTATTTTTCTGCAAAATTGCCTAAAATTTCTATTTAAAAGATGAAAGTTTTCGATTTTTGTGTTCTTTGCCTCAGAAAGTAGATTCTCCTGAATAATTGATGAAATAAATAAATAAAG